TAACGCTCCTCTGGGTACAGAATAGGACACGTAAGAACAGGTGAACCACCAGTGAACCAGTGAGACCAAACTGGCACTTGGAGGCCCCTCCACCTGCTCCTATGTGCACATGGGAGATTCGCCAAGATAGACTACATGTCTCAGTAAGTTTAGAAAAAAGGGGGGCACCTGGCAGCACAGTTGGGTGAGCGTCCGATTCTTGGTTTCAACTCAGGTCATGATCTCAGCTCCGTGCTCAGAGGGGAGTCTGCTTAAGATTCTCTCTCTCCCTCTGGCCCTCTCATGCACTCTCTTTCTCTCAAAAATAAATCTTTTTAAAGAATAAAATTAATAAAATGTTGGGGTGCCTGAGTGGCTCAATCATTAAGCGTCTGCCTTCGGCTCAGGTCATGATTCCAGGGTCCTGGGATCGAGCCCCGCATCGGGCTCCCCGCTCCGCGGGGAAGCCTGCTTCTCCCTCTCCCACTCCCCCTGCTTGTGTTCCCTCTCTCGCTGTGTCTCTCTCTGTCAAATAAATAAATTAATTTTAAAAAATTAATAAAATGTTTCAGTAAGTTTAAGACAATTTAAATCATGCTAGGTATTTTCTCTGATGCCCAGCAGAATCAAGACAGTATGATATAAATATAAAAGATCAATGAAATGGAATTCAAAGTCCAGAATAGCCCCACACTTTGTGCAGTCGATTGATTTTTGACAAATCAGCCAAGTTATTTCAATAGAAAAATTGTAGTCTTTTCAACAATGGTGCTGGGACAACTGGATATGTGTTTGGAAAACAAAAAACAAAACAAAATCCTGGACTCTTACTTCATGTCACACATAAAAATGAATTCAAAATGAATCATAGAGCTAAATGTAAAACCTAAAACTATAAACCTTCCAGAATAAAACACAGGGGACATTCTGTACCACCCTGGGGAGGCAAAGTTTTCTTATGACACCAAGGGTGTGACTCACAAAAGAAAACGCAATAAATTACATTTCATCATAATTAAATACTTCCGGTCTTGAAAGGCATTCTTAAGAAAATGAAAAAGCAATGCCTAGATCTGACAAAGGACTTGCATCCAGATAAACTGACAAATCAACAGATAAAGACCAAAAAAAAAAACCCAAAAAAACCTCAATTAAATACAGGCAAAAGATTTGAAAAGACACTTGACAGAGAAGATATGCTGACGCCCACAAGAAGATGGATGACTTCCTTAGCTGTCAGGAAAATGCAAACGAAAACCAGAACAGAACAAAGATCCCAGAAACAAACTCACAGATGCAAAGGTGTGGGAAATGGATGATGGTATTTTCAGTTACTCGTGTGGGTCTGTTGGCTATCCATGTGCAAAATATTAATCTCAACCCTATGCCAGCCGTGGAAAGTATTAATTTCATGTGGATTGTAGGACCAAAGCAGAAGGTTTAGCAATAAAGCCTCCAGAAGATAAATAGAAACGACTCTGGGGGTGGGGAAGCAATTCCTAACAAGCGTACTGAAGGCGCCAGGCCTATAGGATATGGCGGAGAATTGGTCTACGTCAACATGAAGAGCTTCGGTTCATCACAAGACATCGCTGAAGGCGTCAGCAGCCAAGCTATGGGCTGGGCAGAGATTTGCAACACACTTACCAAACCAAAGCCTCCTGCCCCGAATGTAGGAAGATTTCTTGCAAACCAAAAGGAAAAGACAAACAACCCAATAGAAAAATGGGCAAGAGGGGCGCCTGGGTGGTGCAGTCGGCTGAGCGTCTGACTTTATTTCGGCTCGGGTCATGATCTCAGGGTCATGGGATCAAGCCCCACGTCGGGCTCCACACTCAGTGGGAAGTCTGCTAGAGAGTCTCTCTCTCCCCTCCCTCTGCCCTTCCCCCCACTCGTATGCACTCTCTCTCTCTCTCTCTCTCTCTCTCTCTCCCATAAATAAATCCTTAAAAAGAAAAGAAAAATGGCCTGCGCCCCACTGCTGCTTGTGCTCACACACGCTCTCGCTCTCCCTCTCTGTCAAGTTTGTAGGATTTGTACTCTTGTTCAAGAAAGAATTTTTAAAATTTTCCATGAAACTGAAGTGAGGAAATGATAAACTTCCTGCCGATAAGTCTGAACGTTCAGACGAACTGGATGGACCTGTAGAGAAGCATGGGGCCCACGCAGCACAAGAAGTGGCCTATCTACATAGTTCTGTCCTGACCCAACAATCAAATCCTTATTCACAGCCTTTCCACAAACACGACTCCAGCCTGACCCCCCGGAACCGGACCTCATACTCCACCAAGACACAGCAGTGATGGACGCCAGCTCCGGCACACGGGCCCGGGCTTGGGGAAGCCCTCTCTGCAGGTGCCCACACTGCCGGTGGCGAGGAGACCCAAGCCCCCACCCACTGCAGGCTGCAGGGCAACAAGTGGGAGGCGTGAGTCCCTGCCCCATGAGGTGGGCACCCAGCCGGGGGACTGGGCAGGTCCCTGTCCCTGTGGAGCAGATGGGGGAGGCCCAGTCCCCCAGGAGTGTGACTTTGGCCACGTTGCTGTGTGACCCTGAGCAAGCCTGCACTTTCTCTGGGCCTCGATTTCCCGATGGATGTCTGGGGCCGCTGTGCCCACCTAGAAACACCAGGGGGACTGCCAGGGTGGGGAACCGAGAGTGGGGAGCAAGTCCCTGCCTCTGATCCGGGCCTCTCCTCTTCTCCACGGAGCCAGCTCCCCTGCACAGCAGCCAAACGCACCATCCTGCCTCAGTTTCCCTTCCAATTCTGCCCAGGCCCGTAGCCCCAGCCCAAGGTGGGTACGCCTGTGTAATCAGTGAGAAATGAGAGAGCCGGGCCTGGAGGAGGGGAAGCCACTTGCCCGAGGCGGCTCGCCCCCGGGGGGAGGGGTGCAGGGGAGGGCTGAAGGCAGAAGAGGTGGCGCCTGCCCACGCCGCCGCCAGCGCACAAGGGACGGAGGGAACGCAGTGGGGGCGGCACGGAGGAGGGTCTGGTCTGGGGTGGGGCCTAGGCGGGCAGGAGGAGGGGCTTGGGGAGGGCTGCCAAGCTCCCCCAGCCCGCCCAGAAACCTGCCGCCCGCCCGGGCTGCCCGACCTCGCCCAGAACTCCGCCGCCAGCCGCAGCCGTTCCTGTGAGTCAGACAACAAAACAAGAACGGGTGACCGCCCTCTCCTGGCAGGCGTGTCCCTGGAGCGGCTGGGGGCGGAGCGCGACCGGCCGGGGAAGAGGTCCCCAGGCAGGGCCTCCAGCTAGGCGCCCTGTGCTGGGGGGCGGGGGGGGGGGCACGGCGGTGGAAGGCTCCCGTAGCCGGGCAGGGATCCCTGGCCCTGAGAAGCTGCAGCCCCAAATCTACTCCAGAGGCGTCTGGCGGACGCCAAGGGCCACGGTGAAGGTGTGGACAGCGTGGAGGCGGGGCACACCCCACGCTGGGAACCAGGGCCTTGGAGCCCAGCGGGCCCTGCTCCAGCCAGCCAGCCCCGCCTCGGCCCCCTGGCACGGCAACGGGCCCCACACCCACTGTGGGCTGAAGAGCAGGATCCAGGAGGTGGCAGAATCAGAGGCAGGGACTTGCTCCCCACTCTCTGTTCCCCGAGGCCACACCGCCAGGAGAGTGCCAGGCTGTGGTTTTGAGCTCTAGGTCCCTCTGCGCCCCCTCAGGCAGAACCGCCAGCTGGCCAGCGCCTGCCCCGGGACGCACAAACAGGAAGGAGGAAATCCTGCCTGCCCGCTGCGGGGCAGAGTGGTCGGGAGCCTGCCAGGCTCAGACCTGCACCCCAGGGAGGGAGGACGAGGCACCCCAGGATCCCCCAGAGCATCGTCCTATCGGTCCCCATGTGCCAAGCCCCGCCTGGCCGTGAGTGCAGGGGCGGCGACCCACCCGCCTGACCCAGGCCCCTGCCCACTGTGGCCCCAGAGACAGGCTCTCTAGGCAGTCCAGCGACAATAAGGTCACCAAAGCTCCACTTCACAGAGGACAGGGAGGCAACAGGCTGAGCCCAAGAGTTCTGGCTGCTGGTCCCTGGTGCCTCCCCAAATGCCCTTCCCGCTCCTTGTCCTGCCTCAGCCCCTAACCCTAACCCTTCACGGCCTCAGACACCACTGCAGCATCCAACTCCTGCTGGGGCTGGTACTAGGGGTCAGGCCTTAAACCCCAGGGGTTGCGCTTGAGCCCTTCCGGTGAGGGGCCAGGGTCTGTGCTCCCCCAGCAACAGAACAGCTTCACTGCCGAGAATATTGGAATATTCTGGGGCGGCGTCTCAAGGAAGTGTGTCTGGAGAGTGGGCACCGCCAAGGTGAGGTGGTATGCTGATGCGGGACCAGGTGGAGAGGTGGAGAAAGTGGGGCACTAGCCCAGATGCTCTCTCAGCTCGCCCCCCTGGGGACTCTCCTACCAGCCCCTGGCCAGAGTAGGGCCACCCGTGGGTGGGGCCATTTTGCTTGAACAATACCCCAGTTTGCATGGACACTGGCTGCCCTCCAGGGGGGCCAGGTATGGTGGGTGCATATGCATGTCACCAGGGCAATTGCGGGCCTGGGGGATCATGAGATGGCAGCGAGGAGAGCTGCAAACAGGGACCTGGACCGTGGCCTGGGAGGTCCAGCGTGGGTGTGTGTGTGCGAGTGTGTGCACGCCCATGAGGGCGTGTGTGTGGACGTCTGGGCCTGGGCCTGGGCTCCTTCCTGTAGCACCAGTGCACAGTCCCTGACGAGGCCCCCTGGCCGCCCCGGGAGCCGTGGGGGCGGCAGCCCCTGAGGCAGGCTCACCCGTCAGGGGACGCTGCCCGTGGGCTTGGAGCCCAGCGCCCACACAGGCACACAGCTCAGACCCCACCCCGCGCTGGAACCTCACGAGGAAAGTGCCGGGCTCGGCTGACGGGTCATGAGACCTTCAGACTTCCCAAAGCAACAATCACAGGCAGCGAGGGCCTGCCCTCCTCCCTGCCTCCCCCCTTCCCAGCTTTCTCAAGGTAACTCTGCTGCTTGGGGAGGCCAGCCTGGCTCCCGCTCTGCCCCCAAGGCCCTAGCCTGGCTCTCAGATGCCCAGCCGGCCCACAGTGCCCCCCAGCCCTGGCACTTCTCACCTGTGGCTTCCCCTGACAACTCACAGACCCAGCATGGCCACCCAGCCATCGCTTCCTCTCTGGTCCCGAGAACTGAGAGCCCGGTGCTAGTGCAGAAAACAGACGGGGCAAGGAAGGGAATGATCTCCTGGAAAGCCAGAGGGGGCCACTGAGCTGTGGGACCGGGAGGGGGGGGGCAGGGGGCAGCATGTCTCCTCCTGTACCCGGAGAAACTGAGGCAGGCACATCAGCCTGCCAACTCCAAAGGGCCCAGCAGCCAAAAGGAAACGCCCCACACTCCGGCCCAGCCCAGATGCACCAGTGGGCCTGAGCCTGTTTCTCTCTCTGAGCTGAGAGGCCAGTACCCCAGACGTGCGGCCCACCTGTCACCTGCAGTGAGCCTGGGCTTGCTGGAAGCACCCTGCCCAGACTCCCAGGGCCCTCAATGCACCCACAAGGACAGTGGGCAGCCCCTGAGGAACACTGCCTGGCCACACGGTCCAACCTTGGGGATCTGCCTGCCCTGGGACTGCAATGGCTGTGCTGGTGCCCTTGGCCCCCATGAACTGAAGGCCTGTCCCTCCACCACGGGCTCGGGCTGAGGCAGGGCAGAGGGTCGGGGAGATGACAGCCCTGCTTGGTGCCCAGCCTGAGCCCCGCCCCCGGCCCCCACAGGTGGTGGGTGGTGAGATAAGCAGGCACCCAAGGGCTGAAACTGGGAAGGGGGCTGGCGGCTGGGGGCAGGGGGCTGGGGACTGGGAGCAGGTCTCAGGGGGCAGGGGGCTGCAGGCTGGAGGCTGGGGGCAGGGGCTGCAGGCAGGGGGCAGGGGGCTGCAGGCTGGGGGCAGGGGCTGTGGGCAGGGGGCTGCAGGCTGGAGGCTGGGGGCAGGGGCTACGGGCAGGGGCTGCGGGCACGGGGCAGGGGGCTGCAGGCTGGGGCAGAAGCGGGTACAGAGGATATAGCCGCCGTGGCTTACCCAGGCTGATGTCCTCCCAACTTGCCCAGAAGTGAAGATCCCAGCTGAGCTCCCTCCGGCTGCCCTCCTGGGTCCCTCCCCTCCGCTGCCCCGCCCTGGCCTCCTCCTCAGGCAGGCCTGGAGCCCCGCCAAGCCCCCTCGCCCCAGCAGAGGGCTGGGCGGCCCCCTCACAGTCCTGGAGCTGGGCCAGGCCCCGCCCCCCCAAGCCTCAAGGAGCTGGGGAGCCCGTCCCTCCCCCAGAGTGCCCCCCCCACCCCAGCCCAAGCAGCTGACTGGGAAAGGAAACGCCGGCCGGCCCCGGGATGTCTGAGTCACTACCACCCGCCAGCACAGTCCAGTCCAGTCCTGCTGTGTAGACAGGTAGGCAGGACCAGATGTCAGATAGGACACCCCCCGCCCCTCCCCGGCCAGGCTGTTCATGGGCCCCGCGCCTCAGTTTCCCTGTACATGGGGGGTCAGAGGCTCGGAATGGGCCGGACTGGGGGTGCAGGGAACGGGGGGCACAGTCCGAGAGGTAGATAGGCCCTTCCAAGACAGTCCTGCAATGGGCACTAATTCCGGCCCCGTCTGGGACCTGAGGGCCTTCAGGCTGTGTGGAGACCCCTGCCCAGGGCACAGCCAGCCCCTTCCACACGCAGCACAGACCAGCAAGGCCAGAGCAGGGCCGGTCTAAGCCCACCCATGCCCTGGGCTACGGAGTGACCTTAGGGAAGCCCTGCTCGTCCGCCCACGTCCCTCAGGGGCAGCCTGACCCCGGCCACCCTTCCAGCCCCTCAACCCAAACTCAGCAACCACCACCTCCCAAAGCGCTAGGGCCTCCAACGAGCCAGGTGGGGGGAGGGCCCTAGAACCTGCATTTTAACCCCCTCCCCAGTCATCTGGCTATAAGTACAGCCTCTGAGTCTGAGACCCCCAAGTCATCCACTCCCCAAAGCACCAAGTACCTGGCCTATCAGCTCTTGTCACTCACCCTGCTGACCCCCAGGACTCAGCCCCCACCCTAGGTGCCAAGGGGGCAGGTGGGAGGATGCAGATCCTGGCTCCGAGGCCCCTCCCAGCTCCAGGAGCCCTGGCAGGCCTGGGCAGGACCCTACAGGCTGAGCCATCAGCAGATCTCTCGCGGGACCCCAGAGCTGCCCCGCCCTGCGCCCCACGGCCCCGTGGGGTGGGGCTCAGCTGGCTGCTGGCACCTGCACCCCACAAGCAGGTTGGAGCAGGCCCGCACAGCTGAGGAAGCCAGCCTGGGGTTCCAGGGCAGCGAGGGGTCAGGCCCAGCCCTGGGAAGGTGGTGGTGGGACGGCTGCACCCAGGCCAGGATCAGCGAGGCGGCTGCAGGCTGGGGGCTCTGGGGACCGCTGAGGGTAGCAGGCCCCACACTGGGACACAAGAAGCCAGGAGTGGCCTGGGGTGGGCGACAGTAAGGGAGGGCGCCTGGCCGCTCAGAGGGACCCCAGGTAGGGAGAAAGCTCTGGCTAGCCCAGGTCAGTGGGCACTCTTGGCCCAGCGCGGGTGAGAGGCCCCAGGGTGGGTCCCCAGTCCAGGAAGGAGGGACAGTACCCAGGCCTCTCCCACCCTCCCCCTCTCTAAAAATTTAACGGGCACAAATGACTCTATTTACCGTGAGACAGGAGAGCTGGCGAGGCCTGCTGGCCAGTGACCTCACCCACTCCCACAGCCCCAGACGGTTCTCACCTGGGAACTCTGTTTACTGCCTGACACCCCACAGGTCTGTCATCTCCCCCAGGGCAGGGCTGAGCCCAGCAGGAAGGGAGGCTGCTGCTGGTACTGAGCAGGCCACCCCCCTCCTTCCCTCCTGAGCGTGGGTGTGTCCCAAACCCACAGAGCCTCGTCGCCGGCCCCTGTCCTCCGGGACCCCGCTGCCCCCCAGCTCCCTTGCCCCCGGCCGTGTGGCCCTGGGACACTACAGGAGCCTAGGCTGGGCCCCCAGTGCCAGAGGGAGCTGCGGCCAGACCACCCCCCCATGCTGTGCAGCCTGCAGGCTGGGGCCTGTTCTCCGGCCCCACCCTCCCCCCACACCCTGTGCTCTGCTCCCCCACACGCACAGACCCCCTCCAGACTCTCAGCAGGCTCGACCCTGACTCTCCCCTACAGGCAGCTAGCGCCCACAGCCCTTGGCAAGCGCTGTGTACTTGCGGTTCCCTTGCCGATGGGAGATGGGGGCGAGCAGGGCCTGCGATGTGCAGGCCAGCTGGGAGCCCTGGGCCGGCAGAGAGTCAGGCCAGAGGCACAGGGCTGTGGGTCCAGACCACTGTGAGCTCGTAGGGGCAAGAGTCAGGGGGCCGCCCTTCATACCTTGCCCCTGAGCTGGTGTCCAGTCCCACGGGGGTCATACCCGGCTCTCCAGCACTGAAGGGCCCCGGTGCAAGGCCCTGCCCACTTGCCTCAGCTCCCAAGGACCCCATGTGGCCAGGCAGGTGCTGGGCCAGCTGATGGGTGTCTGCTGACCTGCCACACTGCAGGTCCCAAGACCCATCCAGCACGTGCCCACCGACGCCCACTACCCAGGCAGTTGCAGCTCAAAGCCACGGGCACCCCAGGCTCCTGCGCAGAGTCCGCACAGGAACTCAGCTGCCGGCAGGGGCTGGGCAGGGCCAGGGGCAGCTGATAGTGAATCAGCTGGGGAGGCGGCCAGGGCCAAGCTTGGCGTTCTCAGGAGATGTGTCAACAGAGGAACCCTTGGGGGCTGGAGCCGCCCAGGAGTAAGGCCTGCCAGAGAGGGAGCTGCCCCTCGAGCAGTCCCACAGCCAAGTGCCCTGTGGGAGGCCACCCTTGTCCCCACCCTGGGAGGGGTCCAGCAGGGCTGGCAGCTCTCGGGACACAAGGGCCTCAGTGGGAGAGGTGCGGGGGTGCAGGCAGAGCCTGATGCAGGCGGCCCCTGGTCTGACCCCCACTCAGGGCAGAGGGGCTGGAGCCCCAAACAAAGGGGGCATGACCTGGCCAAATGGGGCTGAGCCCCCGGGCTGTCCCCCAGCTGCTCCTTTCGGAGCCTCGACTCTCCTCTTGGCACTGGACACCCGCATCCGGTGCCATGTCCAGGCCAGAGTGCCGCTTGTGGGCCCCTCTCAGGATTCCTGCCCCAGACCCCAGCAGGGTCCAGGAGGCCGCCAGGCGGCCTCAGCCGGTGGCCCAGAGCCCACTCTCCGCCGACACTCCCGTCAGTCACCGGGTCCCTGCCGGAAGCTCTCTGGCCCCGCGGCCCCATGCCACCCCCACCCTCTCACACACACTAGGGTCAGCGCAGGGCAGGAAGCGGGGTGGGAACCCGGGGCCACCACGTGCCGCCCCGGCCCCAGGCCCTCAGGCCTTTGCATTTGAAAAAGTGCCTCAAACTATTAAATATTTACCCCAGCAAGGCGGACCCTTGGCTCCCAGCCGCCTGCCGCTTCCAAAAAAAGACAAACAGAAGGAAGCCTGGCCGTAGGAGCAGCAGCTGGGCGGGTGCAGGCTCACCGGGAGCTACGCCCAGACTCTCGGCAGAAAGCGCCCCTGACCTTCGAGGGGGCTGGGGGGGCGTGTCAGGGAGGTCAGGGTCACACAGCCAGGTCTCACTATGCATCCAGCTAAGCACCCCTACCCCAGCTCTCCCCACTTCCCCACCCAGTCCTCTGCCCCCTCCATTTCCTCCTCCTCCTGCCTGGCCTCATCCCTTCCCACGTGGACTGCCCAGAACCCGTGTGGGGCTCCCAGTGCCCTTGGAACAAACCCCCGCTCCTAACAGCAGGCCCCTGCCTCTCTACCCTTCACCCCTACATGTATCCCCAGACCCACCCTGTTAATCTACTTGTCCCCCAGCCAAAGCTTTCTCTAGGCCTCTTGCACTCCTGCGCTCTCCCTACCACATGCGCCTTCCTCCAGGAAGCCCTCCCTGACTCCTCTGTACACCCAAGGCTGGACTAATGGCAGAAGCTGTGCCTGACTCACCTTAGCAGAATAGACAGTGGTACACTGTTCCCTGCTGTGTGACCTCCCATGTCCCAGGGCCCCCGACAGAGCCCTGAGTGTAGGACTTGCCTCCTCCGGCTGGGGAGGTCTGGGCTTTCATGCCTTGAGTGAGTGGCAGGGGCCCCCAGATGGCTAGTGCCCTGCCCCACCTGCCTGGGTCCTTTCCCCCGACACCTCCACTTCCTCACCCCCAGGCGGGCTGGCCCCAGGCTCAACCTGAAGCAAGAAGCCTTCAGCCAAGGGCAGCCATGGAAGAAAGGGTACAGAGAGGGTTGGAGTCTGAAGGTGAGAGAAAGTTGGGCCCAGCAATCCACGGGGCTTCCTGGAAGAGGCAGCTCCTAGCCAAGTCAAGGATGGAGGAGCTCAGCCAGAGAGAGAGAAGGCCATGAGGGCATTCCTGCCACAGGCCCAGCCACGAAGAGCCCCAGCGGAGTGGGGCTCACACCGCCTCCGGCGCACAGGGGGCGGCAGGGCCTTTGGGGCACTGGACACCGCCCCCCTCCCCCGAGACCTTGGGGCAGGAGCAGCCTGTCCAGCTTCAGTTCTCCCACAGGGCAAAGAACGAGGGTGCTGTCAGGAATACACCTGCCACACCAGGGGGGGCTGGAGAATCTGCCTCATTTAGCTTAGGGAGGGTCCGTACCCCTTCCCAGGATGGCCTCCGCGGCCTCCTCCTTGCTGCCCGCTCCTGCCGTGGACACTTTGGGCTGGAGGGAGAGCTCTCCCTGGTGGGGTAATGCAGCACCAGCACCTGCCGGACATCACAGCGCTAAGGAGTAGAGGCCAGAGAGGCCCCACGCTGGTGCAGGGCTCTGCCTCACGGCTCCAAGAGTCAGTGTCCCTGTCTGCAAAATGGGGACACAGCCCTCTGCCGATGTGGACAACCCAGGGAAAGCTACCAGTGTGGACGGTGTGGGGACACTTGCCACCCGCACGGGCCCGTGGCCTCCCTGACCACACAGCTCTAGTTCTCTGCCCCGCCTCTGCTGTGGGCAGCCGTGGTCACTTGTGTTCACAGACACAAGTTCCAGACCGCAGACCCTTGCAGCTCCAAGCCCAAGGCCACGCGAGGCCACCAGCCGTGTTCAAAAGAGGGAGGCCACCACAGGGATGCCCCACACTGCAATGCTCTTGGGAAGGGCCCGAGTTACCATGGACCCCCACAAGAAGAGACCACCCAGATCCTCCCTTATGGTGGGGCCTCCCAGGACCCAGTGGGCGTTTCTCAGAGTGGGGATGGGAGAGGGGCTCAGGCTAAGCCAGGGGCTTCGGGTGCAGGGCAGGGGCCCAGGGCAGGAGTAGGGGGCTCCCTGTCAGTCCAGTTGCCCAGGACCCAGCTCTGCCTTGGGAAGAAACTGGCTGCCTCTGGGGAAGGAAGCGGTGTGATGGCTGGTACCCATCACACAGTGAAGTGGGGGCAGTGCACCCAGGTGGAGCTCCCTTCCCATGCCGGCAGGGGCCTGGAAAGAGTTGGGGGTGAGCTGCTCGCTGGCCAAGGTGCCCTGAGGCTGGGCGGATCCCCCCACGGGTGTCTTCCGGGCGCAGCCACCAGGGGGCAGCCTCCCAGTGCAGGCTGGACCCGAGACGGCTTCCTCCCCCAGCTGAGGGGAGAAGGGCACCCAGGCTCTGGGAGGGGTCTTCAAAGGACCTAGCATGGCTGGCCCAGGAGGACAGGTTTGGACTGGGCAGAACGATGAGGGTGCGGCAAGGCCTGCCCATCTCTGGTCTTCGAGGAGGGAACCGCAGCTGGGAGGAGGAGAACCAGCCGCCCCCTCCCCGGGGGCCTTATCTGGAATGCATGTTCCTTAGCCTCACTGAGGGGTGGGGGAGGGCCTGGGAATCTGATGGTGGACCCAGCCCCCAGGGGCTCTGATCCGGCAGGTCTCCTCTCAATGCCCCATGAGAACCACTGACTTTCCCTAAGAGCTGATGGTTTCGTAGAGACAGGACCTGAGGAGCAGCAGAGAATAAGGGCCTCAGCTGTGGGGGGCTGTTCAGACCGGGCCTTTTCGAGGCAGCAGGGTGGATGAGATGGCTTTGGACCCTGCAACTTGGGAGTCTCTGGGTAACCTGTGAGTAAGGGTACAGGCCAGTGTGGAATGCTGGAGGCAGCCCCATGTCCTTCTGCCTCCTCTCCTTTCCCTGTGGTGCAGCAGATCCCCAGGACTGTGGGCCATGGCCAGCCTTGGTCAGGAGGAGGGGGCTGGAGGCCCGCCTCAGCCATCATTCTCCCGAGCTTGTCCAGGGAAAATCCCTTGGACAAGGGAGGGCCAAACAGGAGGCCAGCTGGGCCTTGGTGTTCACCAGAAAATTGGGCAACAGAAGGGACCCTGGGAGCTCCAGCTGCAGCTGAAGGGGCGTGCCCAGGCCAAGGGGCACCCCTCTCCCCTCTGCATCAGCAGCACCATCATCATCTTCTACCCCTGTTCCCCAAGGAGTGGGGTCCAGTCTGCGCCACTGCAGCAAGGCCCAACCCACCTTGCTGGCAACTGGCCAGATGCCCTGGGTGTGGCTGCTGCATCACTGACCTGCTCCCGCCTCTGCCTCACCCCACCCTGCCCCCCAAGACTCTGAGACACCCAAGCTCTGGAACCAGACCTCATGCAGGGACAGACAGATAACAAAGCACCTCATTCCCATTCTGCAGCCAGAGGTGTGGGGAGGGGGTAGTGCCCCGTGGGCAACACCCACCTTCGCTTCCCTTGCCCAGCACTGGGTACTTCTTGGCCTGAGCTCTGACCCCACTCGGGCCCCTCACCAAGCCCCAGACCTCAGGTCTAGCCCCACCACCTACCCAGTGACCTAGCCGCACAGGAGCCACACTGTGGACCCAGCCCAGCCCAGCCTGGGACTCTGGAACAAGGCCAATAGCCCTAAGTCCTGTTCCAGCCAGGCTGCTCTCCCTCAAAGCGGGGTAGGGGGTGAGCCTGGCAGCAGGTCCCCGTGCCTGGTGACCCACGGCCCTCACGCCCCACTCACGCCCCACTCACACGTGCGGCCCTCCGCAGGCGGCCGCCTCTGGGGACAAGACAACATCCCAGAGGGCTAGAGCAGGGAATAGTGACAGAGAAGAAAGACAGGCAGGGGTAGTGAGTGACGGAGGCGGGGAGCGACAGAGTGAGCGGTAGAGATGAGTCAGCGACCCAGAGAGACAAAGTGAGCGGCAGAGACGGAGAGAAGCAGAGCCAGGTAAAAGGCGAGATGCAGCAGGAGGGAGGCAGCCCCGAGCAGCCCCGAGGCGCAGAAACGCGCGCGAGACCCCGGGCCGGTCCCCGAGGCGCCCCACCCGGGTCCGCACTGCGCACCCCGACCCGCCCGGCGCGCGTCCCCGCGCAGAGCCCACCCTCCCGAGGGGAGCGGGCTGCAGGCGGAGAGGAAGCGCACCGCTGCCGGGGGCTCCGGGCCAGGCGGGCAGCACCATGTGGAAACAGTCGCACATCGCGGCGGCGGGGCGGTGCGGGCCAGCGGCGGCCCGTCGCGTCCGGTCGCGGGTCTCGGCTCCGGCGCGCGGGCGGCCGGGGAGCCGGCGGGCGCAGCGCTCTGCCTCCGCCGGCTTGCGCTGCCGCGGGCCGCCGACCTCGCACTGCGGACCCAGCCGGCGCCCCGGGACCCCGCCACCTCCCGGACCCCGCCCCGCCCCGCCCCGCCCCGCCTGGCCTCATTCAGCCTATTGGCTGCCGCCCGCCCGGCCACGCCCCCGGGGCCCACCTCCTGTCCGACCCCCGCCGCAGGCCCGTCCAGCGCCCTCAGCCGGCCTTTCTGGGTCCTGACAGTTGACTTTGGGCCCCTGCCAGGGAGGGGTCTCCACACGCCGCGCCTAGGCTCCCGGGCTGGACCCGCGCTCCGCAGTCCTACCTCCCAGCCCAGAGACGGACATTTTACTGACAAGCTGGGGTGCGGGGCACCCTGGGGGCCACAGAGGCAGCGGGAGCCCGTGCAGGCCATGGGCATGTGATTTGACCTCACCGGCCCTGCCCACGGGGCTCCCAGGCTAGAGATGTGCTCTGCCCAGTAGCACGGTGCCGCGGTGGGGGTGCGTGGGGAGGGGTTCCCGGCAGGCTCCCCGGGGACAGTGTGAGCTGGGGCTTCAGGAGTGCGGGAGGACTGTCGGGTTCAGGGGCCACGGAGTAGTGTGTGTGCCGAGGACAGGGTAAGAGAGCCCAGGCTGAGAGTCAGGTGAGGTGAGGCAGGGGCAGCAAGACTGGGCAGTGGAAGCTGAGGAAAGACCACCTGGTGGCTGGGGGGAGCAGGGTGGTTGTCCGTGGGGGCCACTGCTGGAAGTCAGGAGCCGCACAAGAGGGTGGGTGGGGGCTGGGCCAGGGCAGCAGTATGGGGAGGGAGACAAGGACCCAGGATGTTCCAGAAGATGACCGAGGGGCTTGGTAAGGACTGCAGTGGGATGGGCCCCAGGGCTCCAGCTTGGGTGGTGAGCAGAAGATGACACTCCTTGGGGGATGGGCAGGGCGCTAGCTGAGGCCCAGCCCGATGTAGATCTGAGGAAGGGGACCTTGAGGTGTGGGTCCTGCTGGGGCTGGGGTGGGAGGCCTGGGCCAGAAAAGACCCCGAAAAGCACAGCTACTGCCGTGGAGGACCATTCCCAGGGGCGTCCTAGGAGTGGTGCCAGTGGTGCTGGGACAGACAGACGGACACACACACACACACACACCTGTTCCTAGGGCAGAAAGAGACAGGCTGCTTGGGGGGGGGGCACTCGGACACGCAGACTAGACACAGAGACACACGTTAGACACACACCTCACACACAGATGTAGACAACGCACATATTCACACCGATACACAGACACAGACTGACTTGGATATGCCTCCGTGCACACACACTCCCACACGTACTGACACAGCCGTGCCCACGTGCCCAAATATGCACAACAGGACACAGACACACCCATGGGCACACACAGACACACTCTACTCCTGGGCTTCCGTGGGGTGCACACAGCCAGCCGGGCCCAGGTGAGCCTGCCCAGCAGGATGACTCATGCGTGCCAGTTCCCGTTAGCTGGGCTGCAGCCGGGCAGCCGGCCAGCCGCAGGTCGGACAGACATGCACAGCACTGCTCGGAAGCCTCCCTCCACTGAGCCCACGGCACAACGGGCCACAGCCCTGTCCTTCGGGTGTGGGTCTCACCCTTCCTGCCCTGGCGTTCTCCCGCAGGCTGGGCAGCATGGCCCTGCAGCCGGAGACCCTGTGTCCCCTCTAACCCTGGAGTCCTGCCCTGCTCTGTCCACCAGGGAGTCAGTCGCTCACGGGTGCAGGGAGGGGGCACTCTTTGTGTCCCCGGGTGTGTTCCGCACCTGTCCGGTTCTGTTGGGATCTCAGCCTGCCCATCTGTGTTTGTGAGTCTGGCAGCAGGGGCCTGGGAACAAGGGGCACTTGTATAGTCAGGGACTAACTTAGGGCACAGACCCAGTTCTGTGTCCCCCTGCCCCATTAGATGAGTGACCTTGGCAAAGTCGTGTGGACCCTGGCTCCCTGTCCAAATGAAGTGGCCTCATTCCATGTGACATCCTGATGTCCAGCATGATGGAGCTATGGGGGCTCCTCCCAGCTCTGTGGGGAGGGCAAGGATGGGGCCCTGGGTGGGAGGCCAGGGAGCTGCCCCTCCTGAGCAGAGGTCAGGAGCAGGGGTCTCACATGGCTGCTGAAGGAACAGCCCTCAGCCAGCCCCTGTGCAGCTGGGTGGTCCCTGGGATCGCTGGCTGGCCAGGGACCCTCCCTGGGGCCACTTCTGCACATGGCCTTGGTGAGGGCTGGGTGGGCTTACACTACCCTGTTGGGGCCTTGCTCACTCTGCAGCAAGAGAGTTGGCTTGGCATTGGCTCAGGGCCCAGATTCAGGATGCTCCTGCCCCAGAGGCTGCCCCATCCCTTCTCCTGCCTGCTCTCAGGCAGAAGGTTGATATCACCTGTTATGCTCACCCCTACACATCCCCGGGGGGCCCCCGGGAGCCCCATTTCATCTCTAGGAGGGCCTGGCGCCTCAGCAGAGTATGCCACTGTGTAAAGGGAGATGGTCCATTCGTTGGCCCTCACCGCCCCCAGGGCCGGCCAGCCTGGGCCCTGCCTCCTTGTGCCCAATCCCTCCTCCCTCCTGAGGGGGCCTCAGAAGCCCCAGCCTGGCCCCAGGATCATAGGGTCAGCCCGGGGAGAAAGCTGCTCGGGTGGAGCCTGTGAAGCCCATCCATAGCCCCCCCACTCCCCGTGCGTCCCTACCCCACCCCCACCCCCAGCCCAAGCCTGGCTGTGAGTCTGCCGCAGAGCCCTGAGCTGCCAGGAGCTGCCGTCGTCCCGCCCCACTACAGCCCTGCCCTGATGGCCCCTCCAGGGACAGATGCCCTGTTGGGAAAGGTGACAGCAGTTGGACATGGCTCAGGAGCCCCTGCTCTCCCACAAGCCAGACTCACAGCCACCCCTGGCCCATACAAGGCCCCCACCCTCAGAGCGCTGGGCGGGGTGCGCTGGTTCTGCAGTGCCCCGTGCTCTCTCCCGTGGGCACACATAGGCTCAGCCTCCTCCCTCGGACCACCACGCTAGGCCACACCTCAGCCCAGCCCTCGCTGATGGGCGGGGGTGTCAGGCTCACCCGCAGCCTCCTGAGGCTGGGTGCCTGGGAACCAGGGCCTAGGATGCAGGGCACTGGTGGGGCCCAGATGAGGAGTCGGGCCTCTCCAGGCTGGCAGGGACACCCGGAGCATCAATGATTGATGTCTCTGTGCAGCAGCCGCTGCACCATAAGCAAAAATAGCTCTGCATTGTCCCTGCCCCAGCCTGGCCCAGCCCAAGAGTCACAACTGAATGGGGGGCCATGTAGGACCCTATTAGCTGCCATCTGCCCTCCCATTCAGTCCTCACACGGTGGGGAGGGGGCGGGCTTCAGGTCCGCTGACCCTTGGCCTCTAACTGCCTCAGTCTCCCCCAAGCTGAGTGCCCGCTCCAGGCCTGGGGAGAGGTGGCCTCCTTGACTCATCCCAGTGGTTTGGGTCTGAGAACCCCAGAGGAGCAGGATACCTAGGTGCTTCTGGGAGCAAGGGACACTTCCCCATCGCTCATCAGGCAATGGCTGGGAGGCACCAGGATACTGCGGGGCTCTGAGTTAAGTGGAGGCTGGCCCCTTCCTCCTGAGGCTGGGACAGGGGAGGCTTAGCTTGGTGGCAGATAAGCTGTCCCCCACCCCTGCTCCTCAGGGGAATGGACTGAGATATCCCGAGAGGAGCCTGGGGGGGCCACATGGGTTCTTCCTCCTGACTACACTATGCCCATCCCCTCCACTCATGCTTGTGTCCCCTGAACCCCACTTTAATGGCGCCATGCTCCCCTCTGACCAGTCTCCCTCAGCAGGTGAAACCTCTTCAACTTGAACAAATACCTGCCCTGCCCTGCCCCCCCCCCACCCTCTTGGAGGCCTGGCCCTCGGCTTGTGCCCCATGTCTCATGCCCATTCTGCTCAGTTGGCCAGAGGAGCCAGGAGCCAGCTGTCACCTCCCTGGGTTACACCCCCCCAAAACCTGCAGCCAGGACTGAGCACCCTATGTCAGTTCACCTCTGCCACTTCGAAGCTCTGAGTCTTGGCTCCCGCAAGGCAGCACTTTTTAGTAGTCAGAGGTCACCGCTGTAACAAATAACCACACAGTGGCTTACACAAACACATTCATTCCCTTGCGGCTCCAGGTGTCAGTAGGGCTGTATTCCTTCTGGGGTTTCAGGGAGGTGGACTTCGTTGCCCTGTTCAGGTCCTAGAGGTGGCCCACATCCCTTCGTTCAGAGCCCTGCATCTCTCGGACCTCTGCTTCTGTCTCTCCAGCTCCTCAGACTCTGACCCCCCTGCTTCCTCCTTGTAAGGGCATTGGGCTCAACGGCATAACCCAGGACTTTGTCCCCATCTCAAAAGCCTTAGCGTAACCATGTCTGTAAAGTCCCTCGTGGGGCCTTGTTAAGGTCCCGTACTCACGGGTTCTGGGGACCAGGACGTGGACATCTCTGGGCGGCATTATTCATCCACCACAGCTAGTAAGACAGGTCAGCCCACCTGTACCCTGAAGGTCACCGCCATTTTCGCTCTTCGCCAAGGCCCACACAGGGTGTGGGAAGCTGCTGAGCTCCCAAGAGCTTGTTCCAGCTCCAGCAACACTTCCCACTCCGGCCTTTAGGCCCGGGCCTCAGTTTGCCCACCTGTACACAGGGACAACTTTTCTACTCCTTTCCCTCCCTGCACTACGAGGACAGCAAGGACAACGGATGAGGGGGTTCAAGCACGGGGTAGACAGCAGAAATGCCTGGGACCAACACTGTCCCTGGGGTGACATCCAGGCAGGACAGCCGGCATCTGGCCACCTTCCCCCAGGGCCACCCAGGTGTCTGCCCAGAGCTGGGCAGTCGGACTGCCTTGCTTGCACACTGCACTGCTGGCGGGTGTACCCCTCAGGAAGCACGGGAGGGGACAGGAGGCCCAGGAGTCAGCGATGAGCTCATCTGGTAATTTTCAAAATTAAAAATTTTCAGTAGCTGGGCTGACGAGGACCAGGGAGAGAGGGTGATTCATGCCAACAGGACAGGGCCCAAGGAGGTCACAGGGTGGAGAAATGCGCGGATGGAGGGAGCCTGGGGAGCGGGGGTGTGGATCAGGGTTTCCGTCACTTCTGGGGAGGCTGGAGTCAAGCGCACTCGGCAAGGTGGATTTCGTGAGCCTGGAGGTGCGGGCGGATGGGGAAAGGTCTGGAAGGGCTGGGAGGGAGCTGGCGGGCGGGCCAGGCTGCCGCAGTAGTGCCCTTGCCCGGGGGCGGGTGGCAGCAGGAGGGGCTGGCTGTCCAGGGCCCACACTGGGCCTGCTGCGCCCCCTGTCCGGCCCGCAGGCGGCGGACCGCCATCCTCCCTCACGCTTGGGGACAGCGCGGCCCTGGGACCCGGGAGTCGGCCGCGCGGTGCGGGAGGCAGCCCCACCCCAGAGGCCCGCGCGCGCCGCGGAACCGGGCAGGGCGCGCTCGGGGCGGGCTGGCGAGTCGGGGCTCCAGAGGCGCACGGAGCCTCTCCCCTTAAGCCAGGGTCCCTCCTCCTGGAGGGCGGAGAGTTAGGGCCGGGGTGGGGGGTGGGGGACACGCAGGCGCACAGCGGGGCGGGCCAGCGCGCTGACGTCACGACGCCGGACGCCGGACGCCGGACGCGGGGGCCAGCGCGCTCCGTTGCCGGGCAACGGACGGGCGTGGGGACAGCGGCGGCCGCAGCTCCGGTGAGCCGAGGTGGGTGCGGGCGGGGGCCGCAGGCCGGGCCCTCGCGGGGACCCCGGCCCCGGGCTGCCCTCCTCCCCGCCCCGGGGCGACCCCACCCCCCGCGCTCCCACCCCGTGCAGCCCCGGGCGGCTCTGGCTCAGCGCTGTGGGTGTCTCGGGAGCACCTCCCCAGCTCCCCATCGCGTGGACGCGGCCCGGACGGCACCGACATGCAGGGCCAGCGGCAGCGGGGGGCAGGGCCTGGCCAGACACCCCCTCCCAGCAGGTGTCGGAGCGACCTCGCAGAGGAAGCAGGCGACGTTTCCCTCTGCCCGGCTTCTAAAGACAGCGGTGCAAGCAAGGCGCCAGGGGGGCGGAGAGGCGCTGGCGCCGAGTGTCTCTCCGGGGGCGGGGAGGGCTTTTCTACCTGCCCCGCCGGCGGCCCGGACCCCGGGGAGCACAACAGCGCCTGGGGGGAGTTTGAAGGCTTTCAAGAATCTTCGGCCAAGTCTGAACAGTTCTCCCCAAACTTTGAGCTCCCGGAGAGACCCCCACATCCTCGGCGGCAGTCAGTGGCTTCTACCCAAAAGGAGCGTGGTTCTCGCCAGCCTCCCCAGGGCGGGCCTGGGGTGCCAGGAGCCGCGGGCAGCTCACCTTGTGAGGTATTTCTACAGCAGACCCTCCGGCTTCGGTGGGCTGGCCCGGGAGGGGGTCTGCTTCTCTCCCGGCCTCGGTCCCTGCCTGTGTGGCTGGCTGTCCGGTCCTGAGCCAGGGAAGGAAGGAGGCTGGACCATACTGGGGGGCGAGTCAGGAGCGAGTGCTTGTGTGCCCAGTGCTCCTGAGTCCAGGCACTGGGCCTCCACCATCCCGCCAGCCCACCTTCCCCCGCTCCGTTCAGGGCACACTGGGAAAGAGCTTTTTGTCCGAATTGTTACTCTCTTTATTCAGAAAGCCTCACCAAGAGTCCCTTCCAGCCTGTGTGTGATGACCCAGTGCTGGAGATGGCCTGGAGATCCCAGGCTGCGTCCCCTTCGCCGAGGGCACCGCCCTTCCTCACCTGACCACCAGTTTCGCCTTTTTTATGGCTGCATCTGATCCTTCTTGTCTTCCGCTTCCTTCCCTTGCTCCTTTTCCTCTGCCATCTCTTCCCGAGGGCTTACCCTGAAACCCCCGAACTCCACGAGAACAAAAGGAGTCAGATGAGTAAGGGATGAGAGAAAAGGTTTCGCTGGTTCTAGGGATGAACGGTTTGCTTCCTGAACCAGTGTTTCCCTGGACCTCTGGCGGGAGGCGCCCTCCATGCAGTCCGCTCTGCTAGCCCGCTGTTCTGAAAACAGACTTGTCTTCCACTGGGACGAAGAGATCAGGGAACAATCTGACAATAATGTGAACTTTGCAAGAGACACTAGGTGAAGAGAGAAAACTGCACCCCGCTGACGTGAATATATGCACTGAGCACACACACCCCTCCAACAGCTCTCGGGGCTCCCCGCCCTCCCAGCTCGCACACCTGCCCTCACCTCCACCTGCCCAGTGCACACCCACCCTCACCTCCAGCCTCTCAGTGCGCACACCCACCCTCACCTCCAGCCTCTCAGTGCGCACACCCACCCTCACCTCCAGCCCACCTCGTGCACACACACACCCTCACCTCCAGCCTCTCAGTGCGCACACCCACCCTCACCTCCAGCCTCTCAGTGCGCACACCCACCCTCACCTCCAGCCCAGCCCATGCACACACCCACCCTCACCTCCAGCCCCTCAGTGCGCACACCCACCCTCACCTCCAGCCTCTCAGTGCGCACACCCACCCTCACCTCCAGCATGCGCTCAGTGCGCACACCCACCCTCACCTCCAGCATGCGCTCAGTGCGCACACCCACCCTCACCAGCCTCTCAGTGCGCACACCCACCCTCACCTCCAGCATGCGCTCAGTGCGCACACCCACCCTCACCTCCAGCATGCGCTCAGTGCGCACACCCACCCTCACCTCCAGCATGCGCTCAGTGCGCACACCCACCCTCACCTCCAGTCCCCTGGTTTGTACTCCTGTCACCTCCTGCCAGGCTTTGGACATTCATTCCAGCACTTCACACTAACTCCCAACCTTCTGACCTCAGGTCTTCGTCCAGGAAGGGCCACCTTTACTGTCGTGTGGATAGATTTCCCAGCCAGCTGACACGCGGGAAACACTAACACCTTTATCAGGTGCCTCTTTCTCGTGTGTCACTGACGAAGCTTATGAGTGCTGTGCCCTAATCCCACTTTCTACGCCCTGTGCTTCTCATCGGGAGTGTGCAGAGCAGAGATTTTGGGGAGCGAGTGTGTCGCGCTGTGGCAGCAGTGATGGTCTGATTGTCCACACACTTCATTTGCACCAAAACTACGTATCGGGGGTAAGGGGATGTAATGTGTGTTTTTTTCTTTTTCCAGCTTCTGCCCACCTACAAGGACGTGTTCAGGTTTGTTTTTCAAGAAGTACCAGTCCAGCAGGCAACTGAAGGCGTCTCCCCCTTAGACTGCATCTTAGAACTGCCCGGCTGTGAATCTGGACAGCAACTGTGGTAAGTAACTTACGTTCTTACAGCAAGTCTCAGTTTATAATTTCGGTTGACCAACTGGACGTTTACAGAGAGCCCATCTCTCCCGAAGTTCCCATAGCCTTGGGGTGATGGGGTCCTCACGGAGGGACCAGGCAGCACGGGTCGATGCTCTGGCCACGGTCACCCCTCTCAGAGCCATGTTCACCTGGAACGAGGTGGACGGGGGCGCCAGCTCCCAGTGTCTCAGTGCGAGTGCTGGGGGTGTGGAAGGGCCTGAGGGCCTGGGCGGTGGGCACGGGGCCCTCCCGGGGGGCCTGACGGACTGATCCTCAGCCACAGAGAAGACATGCCGGTGCCCCCGAGGGACAGTCTGAACCCACAGGGTCAGCTGGCCTGAGTGCATCTGGTGCTAGCAGCAGGGCTCTGGTCCCCGGGGCCCGTGCTCTGGGACATCACAGACACAGGTGTGCGCAGACGGCTGTGTCCTCAGATGTGCTCTCACTGGGCACTGAGAGAAAGCAAATGCAGCTCCCTGCATGTGGTCGAAAAGCTCGAGGTCCGCTGAGCCCAGGCCGCAGGAGGAGGAGGTGAAAGGTGGTGTGAGCTGGCTTCCCTGACCCCGTGCCCTCTTTGTCAGAGAGTTCTGCACACCAGCCCTTCTGGGCTCCAGTCTTGGGTCCAGTCAGGGCCCACCCCAGGGAGCCCCGCCAGGGGCACGGAGACAGAGGCCTGGAGCCTGGAAGGCTGTCACCACCGTGTGCCCTCTGGATATGGTGCTTCCCCAAGGTGTGGGCCGGGCCAGCAGGCAGGTGGAAGGGCCTTTGGTGGCAGCATGAGCCTCCGACACCCAGAGACATGGGTGGTCCTGGGTATCAGGCCTGGCAGGGCTGGACACTGCTGTGTGACGGGAGGTGGCTGTGACTTTAGGGTTTGAAAGCATGAGGATGACTTGGAAATGATGTGGGCACTTAGCCTAACTGCCCCTCCCATGGTTCTTTGTGTGAACACCTTCCCTTCCCTCGCGGGAGCTGCGCTACCAGCCGTGGACAGCACGTGGCTGATGGGGAGTGGCCAGTAGCTGTGGACGGTGCGTGACAGACTCCCAGTGGTCGTCCTCTAGTTACTGCCCCACCCCTAGTTTCCGAGTGACCCTGTGGTCCCTGTGATCACCAGGAACACAACTGCGAAGCACCAGGCTTCCAGGACGTCTGCCCCTTGGAGGAGCTGCTCAGCTGTGACCGTGAGCCAGGCGGTGCCAGGGGAAGAGGGTGGGAGTGGGGTATTCATCGGGGGGCACATATCGTCTGAAGAAAGCAACACATAACTCAGCCCAGAAGGGAGCACTCTGTTCTCACAATCCCTGGGGGCAGGTGATCTCTTGGCTTCTGTTCTGAAGGTTTCTCAGTATCTCTTTTTTTTTTAATATTTTATTTATTTATTCATGAGAGTCAGAGAGAGAGAGAGAGAGAGGCAGAGGGAGAAGCAGCCTCCCCGCCGAGCAGGGAGCCCGATGCGGGGCTCAATCCCAGGACCCTGGGACCATGACCTGAGCTGAAGGCAGACGCTTAACCATCTGAGCCACCCAGGCGCCCCTCTCAGTCTCTTTAATTAACGTATCTCTTTTCCAGTTCTGAATCTAGAAAACTCTGGAGAGCTCTTCAGAACACAAATAGCACATCGGCCTCTCGATGCCTCTGGAGTGAGTCCCGTTGCCAGGAAAATCTCTTCCTCGTTCTTGGAATAGATGCTGCTCAGAAGGTGAGTCAGGTGGACATGGGGCTCCTGGGGGTGCAGCTGGACTCCACAGCGACTTTGCTGGCCACCCTGAGGCCGCAGGGAGCCATCTACACAGACGGCATGAGGGTAGGGGGGCCTTGCTGCCAGAAAACAGCAGGTGGGGGAGAAAACACACTGGTTTCCAGTGGTGGTTGGGGGGGAATGCGGCAAGGCAGGCAGGGAAGGGGAGAGATGGGTCAGCTCGTCGGTGTCAGGCACCTGCCCCGTGTCAGGCTGACAGATGTCCAAATGCGGCCAGACCCTTGACATGTGGTGGAGGAGGCGAGGCGCCGTGGCCAAGCGGAGGACATACACTGCATGCGGTGGGGGGCGCAGGAGCTCCCAGCAGAGGGGAGGGTGGAGAAGTGCCCCACGCAGCAGCGGCCTTTGCTCAGGGGCTGGGGGCGGGGCTGCGCCCAGCGAAGCCGCAGGTGCCCGCAGACGGGTGATGTTAGCCACCAGGTGGGTCCCTAGCACCTGAGGTGGGAGCCAGCAAAGCTGGAGCAGAGAGGTGGCCAGTTACCAGAGAAAATGCAAATTGTATCCAGAGCAGTCTTTCAGCCATCAAGTTGGCAAAGACCCTTTTCTGGTTTTTAGTGTTATGGAAATTTTCAAACGTGGAAAACCTAAAAGGGGCTGGCAGGCCTCAGTGACAACGGGGGCCTTGGGGATGGCTGCTGATGGGCCTCGGGGCCAGTGGGGCTGGCCAGGAGGGACGTGAGGGCTGCAGGGAGCCAGAGGGGCCTGATGAGGCCACCTTGGCAGCTTTTTTAAGGAAAACAGCCTGGAGGATGGGGAAGGGGACAGGCAGCCTGAACAGGAGGCAGGGAGGTGGGGCTGCTCTGGGTGCAGCCAGGCTGAGGGGGTGGGAGGGGGCAGCTCCAGGTGCAGCCAGGCTGGGGGGTAGGGGGGAGTAGGGGGTCAGCTCCAGGTGCAGCCAGGCTGGGGGGGGCAGCTCCAGGTGCAGCCAGACTGGGGGGCGGGGGGGGCAGCTCCAGGGCGGGGCAGGGCTCACTCTGGAGGCGGTAGAAGACTTGAGGTGGAGGGCCCTGCGGGTCTGGAGGGAGAGGGTGGCTGTGAGCCTGGTGACAGGAGGGTGGGGACCTGCGGGCTGCCTTGGCCCCGTGGACACTGAGTCATGACCACGTGGCAGTTTAATAGTGGGATGTGCCAGAGGGGTCTGGGTTAACAAGACAAACGCAGAGAAAGCGGTCCTTTATCTTCCTTCCCCCCGCGTGACAGTGGCTTGTCTCACTAGAACCTTTCCGGAGACCTGGGTCACATTCTGGAAAGTTCCGACCTCCAAGAGCCTGAAGAACTGGGCGTGCCCACCTTCCGTCTGCAGCCCTGCAGAGCCCTGATCCAGACCAAGGTGAGCCGCCCCCCGGGACAGGCCACGGCCATGCTGGCCGCGTGGGTCTATGTGCTGGCACCTGCTACCTGAGTCTCACAGACTCGGGAGAAAGGAGCACTGCGGCCATCTGGGGCAGGCAGAGCACCACAGGGCGCTGGGAGGTGCGCAGGCGTCACGGGCAATGGGTGGGCTGTAGGAGGGGCTGCAGGGAAGCAGCAGGGCAGGGAGGTGATGGGTGATGAGGCACATGTGAGGGGCGCTGCAGGCCCCGCTGGGCAGCGGGGGGCAGGGGTGCATAGACAGGGGCTTCTGCTGCCCTCTTCTGAGGACAGGGCACAGCTTTTCCTGGGAGTGGGGGCGCCTGCCCACTCATGGGCCAGGTATTGTGGGGAGCAGTGCCCAGCCTGCAGGGGCCTGTTTCCCTCGGGACCCGGAGCACAGGTGGGGTTCACTCTGCATGCACTCCTGCCCAGGAGAGTAGTGGCACCTGGGGGATGTCCACCGCCAGGGTCTGTTCTGATGGTGGTTGGTGTGGACAGCGAGTGCAGGGGAGGCCCCTTGTCATCCAGCTGCACGGGCCAGGGCCATCTCCAGGGACGTCTAAGCATGCTGGTCCATCTGCTCTTTGGGAAACCCCACAAGGCAGGAGGTAGAAACTTCTAGAAGTGCAGGCAGGGGCCATCTTAGAGCAGCAAGACACAGAAATGTCCATCACAGCATCATTCACAGTAGCTTACACGTCCACAGCGGCTGGTAGGTGGAAATCCATGGACACTGCAGACGAGAGCAGGAAGGGCCCTGTGACCCCACCTAAGCCCTCAGGACAGGGTAATAGGATCACCTGGGATGAGGAGGCCTGCATGGCCCTGGGCACACAACATGGCTGTCCTCCCAGTGTGGTGTCCCCTTTGCTCTGGGAAAAGCCACGGAGCTGTCCGCTCCATCCCATGCGCCTCCGTGTTGACTGCACAATGACAGGAGCTTAAGGCAGGAGGAGAGAAAGCCCCACGGGGCCCAGCAGCCGGTGCAGCAGGCCGGCCCCAGGGGCACACAGCCCACTGGCCTCTGTAGGCCCTGACCATGCCCTTCCTTTCCCATCAGCTCTCAGGGACTTCCGGCGGCAGACAGGGGAGCCTGCTTGCATGCAGCCTCTTTCTGAAGACCCCCTTACACAGAAACGGGCAGTACCTCACAGTTCCATGGAAAAAGAAGATCTTCAATCCACGTAACCTAAAAATGACCTTGTTTAATAGTGACGTTTGCTAAAACGGGAATACTTTGTATTTTTATCAGGAGTTTTACATTTTCTTACTGGCTTGGTTTGGTACTGGAAACCGGAACTATTTTGTGGGCATGTTTCTGGGGATGCCCTGTGCACACCCGTGCTGTGCCCCCTGGTGCATATTGGGGTCTGACCACTTTAGAAGAGCGTGTCCTTTGGCAGAGCCAGTCTCAACAGGAAGGGGGTGCCCAGGGTCCCCAGGAGCTCTGCCCCAGCATGACATGAACCAAGGTGGCACTGGGGGCCCTCTGCCTGGTGCAGGTGCTGCCGGCCCCTGGGGGTGCCCAGGGATGAACCCAGGCCTGGCTGCCCGTGTGGCACCACCGGGGGCACAGCCGGGTGGCCTGGCTCTCAGTGGAACTGTCCGCAGGAGGCAGGCGTCCACATGCTCAGGGAGTCCGGAACACGTTCCTGTCACACCTGGGGGAGAGCGAAGGCCCTGGGAGCACTTACTGCACCACTGCCTGTCTGGCAGCCTTTCTCTGCATCTGGCCCTCCTCTCTGACTCCGAGCAAGCGTTCTCTGGTTCTGGTGGAGGCACTGATTTTTGTAAAATTTTATTAAATAAAATGGCCTGGACAAGCCCATGTTCTTGCTGGTTCATCTGCTCTGTGGGGACTGTTGCCAGAAGTCCTGCGGTCGCAGGCTGTCCCTGCCTGAAGCCCCTGGCCTCTCCGTCTGGCAGAGCCTGGCTCCCAGCGCCGTCCTGTGTGCACAGGTCACACTTGCTGCCTGAAGAGCATGGATGGGGGCTGGCCTCAGATGCCAGCTCCGTCAACCCCGGAGTCAGACCCAAACAGTGACCAGCAGATGTCGCCTGTCGCGGGGAGAAGCACGCTAGTGGTCACTCTCCACCAGACTGCAGGTGTCTTATGTGAAGGGGTAATCAGATTTTTTTTTAGTGCTGTAGGTTTGGGAAATCTGCCCTCATTTTTCTTTTTCAGCCAGAAAGAGATGGAAACTTGGAAACTGCTTTTCTGCCATGCTGTTTCCGCCACAGGGCAGCGTCCGCCCTGGGATGTGCCATCATTTCCCAGCCTTTGGTGAAAGTCAGACTTGAACCCAAAATAGGCCATTCTGTGTTCTGCCTCCTCCCCCAAGTCACTCTCAGATGCGGGCACTGGACTCCCCACAGCTGCCTCCCTGCCCCGTTGCTGGCAGACCTCTCCTGAACCCCAGCCAGCCCAGCGCCCCCAGCTCTGTCCCCCACGCCAGAGGCCAGGGCTGTCCCTGTCCCTCAGTCCGCGTCCAAGCAGACATCAAGTCTGGCTCTGATGCTGTGTCCAGGTGTCTGGCCAGGCTGCTCAAGGAGGGGCCTTCTGAACTGGGAGAGTGAGTGCTGACTGGACCCCTCTGGTTCAGAGGCTGCCCCTGTCACCCCGACCAGAATGTGCCCCGTCAGCTAGAAAGTCAGGGTTCAAAATAATCACAGAGCTGAGGATACCAAGGACATTAATGGAATTCAGTGCCCCCAGGGCAGAGCGGGAGAAGGGGGACCCCAGGGACCCTCGTCCAGCTCTCGGCCCTTGCTGAGCACTGAGAGCAGGGTGCAAGGAGAGAAGGCTGACAGAAAATCCCCAAGTAGAAGCCAGCCTCTCTCAGAAGTAGGGGCCAGGGAAGTGAGAGACCCTCCTCTGAGGGGTGCTCTGGGGTTCCTGCCACCCGCTCTAGAGGCTCCGCGGGGCAGCTGGGCCCCTGCCTTGGGCGCTCCAGGCCATGGCGGGCTGGAAGGACCTGGAATGGGGGCAAAGGGAGCCTCCAGTGATCTGCAAACATGGCGGCCGGGCTCTGCAAGGCAGGCTGATGTCCAGAGCCTGGCCAGGGCTCAGACCTTGGGCCCCGCTGAGCAGCAGCCCTGCAGGAACCTGGAGACGCGGGAAGCCTCCGGGAGCTGCAGCGGGGCCCGGGCCCAGCCCGACGGTGGGCAAAGACTCAGCCCCTCCAGGAACCTGACGGCTCTTCGCTACAGACTTCAGTCTCTGCTGTTCTCTTACCGAATGCTTCGCAGTCATCAAGACATGGCAAGGCCACAAAAATGCGAGAATCCCTGATCCCTGGTGGACAGGAGCAGAGGCAGAGATGGCCCAAACGGTGCAGGTCCGAGACCGTAAAATGGCATTGGACGAAGTGGTGAGGATCCAGTGGGAAAGGAGAGCACACACGGGAGAGACACGGAAATCACACAAGAGAACAAAATGGAAGCGCCAGGAACGAACACCGTCACCCCCTCCGCGAGCCATTCTTGAGAAGGGCCCGACGGCGGACCGGACACAGAACAGTCCATGAGCGCAAACCGGTTGGTAGAAACCATCCGAGCAGGATGCAGAGGGACAGAAAGAGGGAGAAGACACAGGACGGGGTGCCCAGGACCCGGGGGCAGCGCCAGGCAGTGTGCCCCCGCGTCATCGGAGGCCCAGAAGCAGAAGCCCAGAGGAGAGAATGGCTAAGAACTCTCCGACGCTGACGAGAGCCACAGACCGGCAGCCCAGAGCAGGATCCACTGGAAGAAGACCAGACCTGCGCTCTGAGCCTGCGGGAGCCCAGCCTGGAGGGACAGGGAGCTCCGCACGCCCCGACGGCTCAGACGCAGGCCGGCGGAGGCCTCGGCCGCCATGCAGGGCTCTGGCCCCTGGCGCCCGAAGGCTGGAGGCCGCGTCCGAGTGCCTGGACCAGCCCAGTAAGCGGCCCTGCGGGGAGGACACGGCGACGCGGGGAGGACGCAGGCGGGACACCATGAGGGAGACGCCGGAGGGGCCACTGTGACCGTGGGCCGGGGTCGGGGAAGGAGGCGAGTGTAAGAGCCATGAGCAAGGCTGTCACGTGTTGGCAAGAGAGAGATTTAGGTTCAAAGAAAGTAGAAGAAAGGAAGTGAGGACAGCAAAAGCCAGCGAGGGGAGCCAGGGCCCAGTCCTGGACGTGGAGGCCTGCAGTAATGAGCACCCGCGACCGAACCAGCCAGATGTGCCCCGATGGCCGGCCGCCCGCCCTCCCCCCGATTCGGCTGCGTGTGGCACCCCGCTGACAAAGTTACAGGGAAAGGACAGCTAGTGGGGACACGTGAGTATGACTGCGTGTCAGCCGGTGGGAAGAAATTAGTGTTCCTTTTCTGACCGCGGGATTGCAGTCCTGAAGTTTCATACATATTTACAGGCAAAACGTTTCCACATCTCAGACCTGCGTTAAGCTTCTTTAAGGAAGAAACAACACGGTTCACAGCTGGTCACCACTGGTAACAGGCACGAGGCCGATTCCCTGGCTCTAGAGTGTGTCCACTCTTACAGGGGACCTTTCTCTGTGGCCAGAGGGGCCCCCCCAATCCTGAGAGTCATCGTGCCCCCGTCCCCGGGCTGGCCTGCGGCAAGCAGCGCAAGCCCCTTGGCTGCAGGTCGGGGCCCAGTGGGCAGGGTTTCAGCAGGGCCCTTCCCCATCATCGGAGCCCCTCAAAGCCGGCCACCGGGTCTGTCTGCAAGGATGACCCAGGGCTGAAGCAGGGGTTCTGAGCACCAAGCTCTGGTGCAGGTGGCTTCTGAAACTCGGCGGGGACCCCGAGTGGGTGGGTACTGGGTGGGCGGGGACCAGGTGGGGAGGGCAGCCCACAGGAGGGGTGGGCGCCGGAAGGGACACTGTGTCTCAGCGGGCTCAGGCCACTAGAACAGAATGCTGCCACGCGCGAGGCTTGGACAAGCTCCTTCCCACCGTGCTGGAGGTGGGGAGTCGCTGTGGGCCTCTCCTGGTTCACAGCCGGTTGCCTTCACCGGGCGTCTGCAGGGCAGAGGGCAGCTGGGAAGCAAGCTGTCACATCTCCTCTGACAGGGGCTCGAGCCCATCATGAGGGCGCCTCCTGGAGGGCCCCTCCTCACGCCAGCACAATGAAGTTAGATTCCAACATATGAATTTGGGGGACATGAATGGTCCAGTAACACATAGGCAAACCCCAAACCACCCCCAGGGAATCATCCTCTCTGTGCCTCCTCCAACAGCCACACGCACACACCCATACACATGCACGCATGCCAACCAAAGACTCCCCGGGGAGCCTTTCCTATCCTGCTGGGCGGGCCCCCACAGCAGGGCTGGCCCCCGCAGCAGGGCCACGGGCAGGGAGCTCACCCACATCTCTGTCCTCACCATGAGGCCTGGGCTTTGGGCAGACAGGCGCTGGCTGAAGAACTGGGCCAGGCCCCTGACCTTGCCCCACCCCTGGACCTGGGGTGGGTGGATCCCAGGACACAGGGCAGAGAGGCACCCCCAGCATGAGGGCACAAGAGGCCACAGGTCACTGACTCGGGGTGCTCAGCAGCTGCTCGGGGCCACCGTGGACCCAGGCTCCCCTTGTTTTGCCCTCCCCAGGAGGGGGTTGTCCTGTATCTGGTGCCTTGGTGCTGATGACGCTCTCAGGCCAGTAGCCTAGGCGGGAAAAGAGCGAGACCCTGGCCAGGGGTCTCCTGGAGGCTGGCTTCCAGGGGTTTGGCCCCTCTAGTGCAGGGGCAGGAAGCACAGCTGGGCCTGTGCCCGGCTCTCAACCCTGGGTCATGCGCCATCCGGTAGGTGGGGCCACCGTGGAGCTGCACCACCTTGGGCCCAGCGCCCGGCCACCCCGCTAGGCTCAGCTCAGCTGCCTCCGACATGCACAGCAGGTGCTGCCTACGGCCGTTCCGACGGTGGCCTCCGTGTAGGGGCAGTGCTCCAGGGACAAGGCCAGCACAGGTAGAGAAGGCCACACTGCTCTGCCGGGCGACAGCCCCAGGCCCCCACCCCGTCAGTGACCCTCTAACGCTCCCCAAGGAGCGCCCCGCTGCAGTTTATAGACTTGGGGGCTTTTTTCCCAAAAGACTACAAAACTACAAGTACAAAATTAGCCACAAAAAGAGAATAGAATGAGAAAAGGAACAGGTTCCAAGAATTTAAAAAGGCGATTGCAAGAAACGTCACAAACTGCAGGAAAGCAGCACTCTGACTAACCACTGCCTGATCCGTCTCCATGCTCCCGCCGGGCTTCTTGGCTGCACTTCTGAACCCCCTCGCCCTGTGACAAAGCTTTCATCCTATCACTTGCTATCCAGAAAGACAACTCCACGTACATTTACGACTGCTGGTTCAGAGGCTCTTCCAACGTAAGGCCCATCGGCGGCCACGCCGCTCGACCTTCGTGTGACCTTCGGGGCTGTCAGTCAAGGCGCGGCCCCCCTGGGATTTTTCACAGGCCGGCTGTCATCCCTGAAAACTGCTTCCCCTCCACCCAGGCTCCGGGGGCAGCGGCGGGGCCCCCGCCCGCCCTGGGAGCCACAAGTCAAGACAGCAGGGGCAGCGGGGTGGCAGGCATACCCGAGGCCCGTCCTGGCTGAGGAGGGCGGGCAGGGGCTCAGCCATGCTCGGGAGCAGCAGGAGACATGCAGCCGAGACCCGCTGCCCTCAAGCCGGGCTTCCCCTGCCCAGAGCCCAGAACCGCAGGGCTCCCCTGCCCCACTGGAGAGGCAGCAGGAGAGATGGGGTGAGGACAGGAGCCTTAGCATGCTGTGGCCAACAGGGGCGCTTGGACGGCCGGAGTCCTGCACGTGCAGGTAGGATGCATCCCGGCAACTGGCCACCTGCCTCTGCCCCTCTCTGGAGGCGCTCGCATGTTTCCAAGGCCATCCACCAGCCAACCTGGCTGGGATGGCAGAGGGCCTGCAGAGTTGGCCCTGCCCAGGGCAGCCGGGCCACCAGGTGGGCGTGAGGTGTCCCACGGGAGGGAGCCCCTGGAATGGGAGCGGGCAGCTGGGAGACAACAGGAGAGCAAAGGGGGAAAGGAAGGGCAGGAGCAGCTGTGTCAGCGAGGTGGGGACCCCCAAGCCAGAGGCCCTGCTCGGCCGGCCGTCCTGAGCGCACCGGTTCTCTGAACTGCTCCACCTCGGACAGGGGCAAGTGGGCGCTGCAGCCACTGAGACTGAAAATGTAATTTTTAAAGAAATCATATAAAGACACAAGGTACTTGTTAACCTTGAAAATAAAACTGCCAGTTATCTCACCAGCAAAAGATGGATTTATGTGGGAATAACAGTTTCAATGCAGGACAAGCAAGCTACGGAAAAACCCGAGAACATCGCAGAGGAGGCGCTTTTCTGGGGGGCGGGGAGTGGGGCTGTTGTAATCGGAAAGCCCGTCGGAGTAAACTGGGAGCTCATAGGGGTTTCTCATTGGCTGGGCTGGGGCAGTCTCTTATTGGCTGGGTTGGGACTGCCTCCCTTTGGCTGGGCCGTGATAGTCTCTCATTGGCTAGGCTGGACCATCTGTCATTGGCTGAGCCGGGACTGTCTCCCATTGGCTGGGCCGGGACAGGCTCCCATTGGCTGGGCTGTTGCCAGGGCAGGAGGAAACCTCCCTTCCTCCTGCTGGGAAGGTAACATAGTATCCACGAGCAAGGGGCGTGTCTTCCTGTTGGGTCTGCAGTGGTCACTGAGGGGGGTGCAGGGAGCGCTGCTCCTGCCGGCCTCCTGAGGCCATTCTCTAAATGAGGTGTCCTTTACTAATTTTTCACACTGTTTCAGGCTTATTATTAAGACACATAGACTTTATTTTCCACGAGGAAAAAGTACGTTCAGAATCTGAAGGAAGCCGTCCGTGGAAGTCTCAGCCTGCTGCTGGCTCCTCCAGGGCACTGTCCCTCCCCCCAGCCCCACAACTGGGGCAGGAGCAGGTGCTGAACGTCGAAGCCTCTGTGGTTGGCAAAGTGCCAATTTAACACAGCCAAGTGAAACAGATAAGCCAGCTGAATGACCTAGGAAAAAAGATCCACTCGCGGATTACGCTGTAGCTGATAATGAACACACTTTCATTTTGTTTGCTGGGTAATGTTTAATAAAGCAATGCGTACATGGCGGATATTAAAGAAAGGTCTTATGCAGGAAAGAAAACACTGTTTTGGCTAAAGGCTGGGTAAAGAAGAAAAAGTGCGAGAAGCAAGAGATGGGCAGGGGTGGGGCGGAGAGTGCAGGCTTACTTGTAAACCACTGAAAAAATAAAAAAGGTGTGGGTGTTCCCAGTGTCCAGGGCAGGGTCACAGGGAGCACGCAGGGTACCCCAAAGCTCACTTCTGCAGCACTGTTCCGCCAACCCCACTGTCAACCATCCTCGGGATTGAGAAGTCCTACAATGATGAGTGTCCAGATTTAATTCTAGACTTCACCTCACAGTTCTGTCCCAGCACCAAAGCAAGCGTGGGCACTCTCCAGTCCAGCGCCCTTTCCACACACACCTGGCACATGGTGGCCTCCGTGCATGCCAGCCCAGCAAATGTGGGTCCAGCAGCTAGGCTAGTGTTGACCTTTTTACCAGTAAAATGGGTTTATTCAGGAATAACAGAATTGCAACCTGCTACGGCAGAACCACACACAAGTCCAACAAATGAGAGGAACATTATTTATGGAAGCTGAAGGGCTGTTTGGAACGCAAGTCCACTGGAGAGAAGCGAGAGTCCTGGGTGATGAGGGCTTGTTTCTGGCTGAGGTGCTGGGGCCGGCAGTTTCTGGTGGGAGATGCAATGTGCACCTTTTCCTGTGGGGCCTGCAATTGACTCTTTCCTGTTGAGGATTCTTCTGCTGGGTCTGTGATCGACAATCCTTGATGTCCAGTGGGACGGAGTGAGAGCCCCCTCTTCAGGCCTCCCCACTCTATTTTAGTGAGGTTTCCCTTGATTAATGTCCATACCAGTCAGAGGCCCTCTACAGTGGTGAGGCATGCTGGCAGGCAGCATGTTCCGGGGAGAGGCCCATCGTGCTGGGAAAACCACACAAGAGGGGCCCCGAGAGTCAGATCCTCTGAAGGCACCACCTGAGACACCTGGGGTGCCCACAATCTGAGTGACAGGATCTGACCTTTGCCTCCAACACATACATATAAATAGGCATAAATAAAACCTTCTGAAATCCCCACGTAACTCTAACAAAGACAGGGCTGGCACAGCAGATCTGGCAATGACACTCAAGAATAAAAGGTGGGGCTGTGCAAGGTGCTCTAATCGTCACGGAGGACAGGAGAAGGTTCACACAAACGTCAAGTGAAAATCATGACCTTGGTACGCTACATGGAGTGAAGCTTCACGTAAAACAAGTCCTTACTTAAACCTTAAAAAAAGAAATACACCAACTGCAACTGTTTAGGTTATAAGTTTCTAATGTAGCAGCAGAAAATGTTTATAGAAAAAATATACTTTTAAGAAAATAGCTGAAAAAATCTAAAAAGATAAAAGTATAAAAAGTTTAAAAAATATATCTTAAGACAAAATATTGCCCAAAACATATAAAACTTAATTTAAAAAAATTCACCTATCTAAAGTTAAACCAGGCTGGATACAGAGCTGGCGACTCGAGCCCTCCACAGAGCTGCAGCAGGACAGAGGGGGCGAGCGCTCAGGGCCAGCAGGATGTCAAGACTGGCCCGGATGACCAGCCTGAAGGAAAACCGCCTAGCCCCCTTGGGGAGAAACAGGAGAGGGCAACTGGATGGTGTTCTGGAACATTCTTCTCATCACAGACAAACCAGGCGCTGAGCCCGCAGATGCAGGGCAGCGAGCATCACAGGCCAAGCACTCTGGATGCCTTATGAATCCATCCACGATGTGTCCCATCAGGGCACAGCTGCCCTCTCAAGTCTCCACCAGGATCTCCACCGCGTGGTCCAGCTCACCCAGATCCGACCTGCAGCTGGAACTGGGAGGTGGGGCGGTCGCGGAGGAGAAGGCCTGGAGCCCGCTGCCGTGGCCCGACTGGGTGCTGCCCACCATCCCCGTGAGCACCGCGTCCAGGTCGTAGTAGGAGCTGTCCACGTCTGCAAACAGCTCTTCCACAGAACCAGAGGTTTTATTCTCCAGCGTTTCAAATATCTGATCCAGGGACTTCTGAAAGCCTCCTCTGTTTTCTCGAGAGCTGTCCACTTCCCAGAGGCTGCTCTGTGGGCTCCTCAGGGCCTGTGCAGATGGGACCGTGGCAGGTCCCAGAACCAGGTCTGGCGTGTGGCCATCTCCCACGTCAGGGGCAGGGCGCTCCCCCTCCTGCTCCCGCACCGATCGACACAGGATGTCAGTGGAGACGAGGCGGTCCAATGGCGCCCGCCCTGCCGCCTGGGGTGCCACCACACGCCAGGTCCCATCCTGGGCCATCTCTTCCTGGATCTGCCGGACTGTGTTGGCTATGAGGACCGAGCGGCAGAGGTTGGGCTCCACCAGCATGTGACACAGCTGCAGTTTGACCAGGGACATGTCCAAGAGCGACTGGCGCTGCAGGCTGTAGGAAGGCATGGCCTGGGCACCTGCCAGGCCTCCTTCCACATCCTCCCCGTCCTCGGCACTTTTTCTCTTTAACCCCCGTGCAAACATCGTGCCCTGTGGAAAGCAAGGAGGATGCCATTTAGCACATTCCAGAGTCCCCAGCAGACCCTGCCCCGAGACTCAGTCTGCAACTGCCAAAGGCGGGTGTAGGAGGGGGACTGGCTGCGGTAACGCCACCGATGTGGTCCTGGGGGCACATGGCGCCCCAGCTTCTGGGAGGGAGGGCTCTGACACACAACAGAGCTCTAAACCACTCCCCGCCCCCATCTCCATCAGGAAAGACAAATGGACTACAAATACAGGAGATACACTTGTAAAGAGCAAGGCTGAAACTCTACACCCAAATTCTGGGCACTGGTGCCCACAAGGGAGGAGAGCATGGGGGAAGCGGGACAGGTGCTGGCCTGCCTGCCGCTCCCCAGCCTGTGCCCAAGCTGACGACTGTGGGTCCCCGCCATGGGCAGCCGCTGTCCCCTCAGGGCTTTCCTGCCACAGCCCTGCCGAAATGTGCCCCTTGGGTCCAGAGGGCCCAAGCCTTCACAGCCCAGGGTCTTGGCAGCACATCTGGCTGGTGATGGTGGGGGGAGAACGACACTTGGGCTGATTCCCTAGACAACTGTGTCCCCCCTCCTCCAAGGTACAGCTTGGACTCCGCCTCACTGGGCACAGGTGGGGACTCCGAGGCCAGCTGCCATTCCAGCCTGGAGGACCAGACACCTTGGGGCAGGTTAGGATGCACCTGGAGGCTCTGGGGTGGCACCGGTCTCATATACCATAGCAGGCTCACTAGATGTCTGCTTTCAGAAGCCAAAATAGGAGCAAACTGTTCTTTTGAACTGATTCTAGGTTGAGAGATCTCTGGAGAATGAAAAAGCAGAGCAGGAAAGGTCTGGGGCCCCAGCTTGGTACCTGCACCACCTGGCCAGGCACCGGGAGGACTCCGGAGCTGACTCTCAGGGCTTACCACAAGCAGCGTGTGAGGTCTACCCTTTCTAGAACAAAGGTAAGCCATAATGCATCAAGTTTCTCTCTTCTCAAGTTCATAAAGTAGCTAAACATTTTTATTTCAAGTAACTTTTTTTTTTTTTTAAGATTTTATTTATTTGACAGAGAGAGACACAGTGAGAGAGGGAACACAAGCAGGGGGGAGTGAGAGAGGGAGAAGCAGGCTTCCCGCTGAGCAGGGAGCCCGACGTGAGGCTTGATCCCAGGACCCCGGGATCATGACCCAAGCCAAAAGCAGACACTTAACGACTGAGCCACCCAGGTGCCCTCAAGTAACTTTTTAAAAAAGATTTTATTTATTTATTTGACAGAAAGAGCCCAAGCAGGGGGAGTGACAGAGGGGGAGGAAGAAGCAGGCTCCCCACCTGCCCAATGTGGGGACTTGATCCCAGGGTCCTGGGATCATGACCTGAGCCAAAGGCAGATGCTTCACCAACTGAGCCACCCAGGCACCCCTTATTTCAAGTAATTAATTTGAGTTATTCATAAAGAGGATTAGTCTTTTAAATTTGTAAATTTTTAGATTTTTTTTTTTTTAAATCAATCCAGTGGCTCTCTGTGACTGCTGCTGGCCTATTTGGTGTGTGCCCAGGGCCCCCGAGAACCGGGGGGGGGAGCGGGGCTGGTGCCTGTGTTGTCTGCACTCAGGCCCCCAAAGTTCTGCACCCCCGCCAGGAGCCCTCTGAGGACTCGCTCCTGCCAGCCCCACCTTTAAATAGACAGAAAAATGACCCCTGTCCCCAGGGTTTCCTTTCGATGTCATAGATCTCACCCCCATACGTTTAACATTTTAAGAAATTTTTAAAATTAAGTGACCTTGGGGGCATTTATTCCAAAGAAATGAAAGCCAACATTCATGCCAAAACCTGCACAAGAATGTTCCCAGCAGCTCTACACATAATGACCCAGTGGAAACAAAGCCCAGCACCAGGGAGTGTCTGACACACTTGGGGCACCTGTCACACACTGCCACTCAGCAGGAGGGCAGCGTACCCTAGAGACCCAAACCTGGAGGGGTCCTAGGGGAATTATGCTGAGCGAGAAAGCCCATCTCAAATTGTTGCATATGGCATACATTTCTGGAACACTCTAACATGACCTAGATAGGAAGTGGGTGTAGTGCGTCCACGAAGCTCTGCATGTGCTCTGACCGCACAGAACCACGTGTGTGCACACAGGATCACTCAGCTCTGTGGTTACACGGAAGACATGTGTGTCTGCGTGTCCATTTAAATGTCAACACTGGGGAGGAGGTGTAGCTCCACATCATTTCTTTACAGTGACCTGCGCATCTGTAGTTACTTCAAACTAAAAAGTTTAAAATACTAAGTGACTGTAGCTTATTCCCCTCCCAGACTACTTTCCCCAGAACAGCAAACAGGTCTGACTTACCAACTCTGAAGCCTGAAACCACTGCCATTTCTACCAGAACACCGGCCACACACTGACTTATTGACTATTTTTTAAACAAATGAATGAACAGGTTTACCACCAAAACACATGAAAAAGATTTCACTCACTACTGGTAGCAAAGGATTCAAATTCTTTGTTGTAGCTGCAAATTCAACTTTTACAGAAGCTTTTATCTGTCAATATTTGTGTAAAAGCCACTTGCTTAAAATTGATGAGTATATTAAGAATTAATATGAGATTATGTCAAACTACAAGATACCCTGTGTTGGGGGAAAAAAATAAGTCTTCAGGGTTCCTCTGTGGCAAGTCACTTTACTTCTTTGTCTTTTAGTATCTCTTTTCAACCAAATCTAAAATCCCAACTCTGGGGGGGCCTGGGTGGCTTAGTCAGTTAAGCAGCTGCCTTCAGCTCAGGTCATGATCCCAGGGTCCTGGGATCGAGCCCCGCATCGGGCTCTCTGTTCAGCAGGGAGCCTGCTTCTCCCTCTCCCTCTGCCTGCTGCTTCCCCTGCTTGTGCTCTCTCACTGTCAAATAAAATCTTTAAAAAAATAAAATCCCAACTCTGTATGGCAACCGATTTAATTTAGAGCCCAACAAAACTCACTCAAATAACATAATGAAGCCCAAGTTACCAAGAGAATGACTCAGAGCCACCCTTTCGGCGAGCCTGCATAGCGAGGTCGGTTAGCAACACCAGGGCCGCTGGAGGCAGCGAGAGACCCACAGCTCACATAGCTCAAGACGCTTGACCAAGCACCCAACTCCCTGGGGCCCCATCTCCCTTTCCTCGAGGGGTCTTCAGAAAGCCCAAGACATGAGCTTGTGCGTGGTCAGTGCAGTGGGAGCCTCCCGCACCAAGGCTGAATTCAGTGCCTGCCACAGCTGCTCCGATTAAAAACAGCCCGGAACAGCACTAGGAACACATCACATCAGGAAAAGCCTGGGGAGGGCCCCTGTTAATATCTGTTTTGAAAGAATGAATATACACAGGGTACCAGCCAGATCCATCCAGGACGCCAACCCCTTACCTGCAGCAACCACCCAGGAAAATTAATAAAGGCAAGCCTCACTAAAATGCAGAAGCTAGAAGGGGGAGCCAGTACCACTCATGTCAATGACAGCCCCCCCCCCAGAAATAGGCACACTGCATCTCCCACAGGAAACCGACACTGCAACTCAGCCAGTGGGAAACCCTCACCACCCCGAGCTCCTGCTTTTCTCCAAGGGACTTCGTTTCCTCCATCTCCCTCCTTACTCACCTTCGTTGGATTTGCCTATGGTTTCGCCGGAGCATGCACGTTGTTAACCTTAGAAATAAACCTACCAGTTATCTCACCAGCAAAAGATGGATTTATCTGGGAACAACAGAGTTTCAATGCAGGACAAGCAAGCTACGGAAAAACCCGAGAACATCGCAGAGGAGGCGCTTTTCTGCGGGGTGAGGAGTGGGGCTGTTATAATCGGAAAGCCCGTCGGAGTAAACTGGGTGCTCATAGAGGTTTCTCATTGGCTGGGCTGGGGCAGTCTCTTATTGGCTGGGTTGGGACTGCCTCCCTTTGGCTGGGCCGTAATAGTCTCTCATTGGCTAGGCTGGACCATCTGTCATTGGCTGAGCCGGGACTGTCTCCCATTGGCTGGGCCGGGACAGGCTCCCATTGGCTGGGCTGTTGCCAGGGCAGGAGGAAACCTTCCTTCCTCCTGCTGGGAACGTAACATAGTATCCACGAGCAAGGGGCGTGTCTCCCTGTTGGGTCGGCCGGCCGTGGTCACTGAGGGCGGTGCAGGGAGCGCTGCTCCTGCCGGCCTCCTGAGGCCATTCTAAATGAGGTGTCCTTTTACTAATTTTTCACCCAAATAAATCTATTTTCACTAGTAAAATAACCGACTTTCATTTTTAAGGTTAACACAGACCAGGAAGTCAAGACTTGTATCTCCATGACAACCCAGGAAGCCGATGACGTCTGTAACAGTCACCCCAAGGGCCAGGGCTTCATCAATAACCGACGGCTGCCCTAATATTTGTCCCCACTTCCTAGAAAAATCCAAACGTGCTGCCCATGAAACCACAAGGGCTGCTGCCTCCCCAGCCTGCAGCCCCCACCAGGGGCCCTGGAAGCCGGTTCCAGCTGGCAGTGCTGCCACTCCCCTGCCTGTCCCCAAGTGTCTGCCCGCAAGCCAGGAGGTGGACCACTCCCTGGCTGCAGGTGCTTCCAGTAAACAGCCTTTGCTCTTCTCCCACAGGTGCCTTCATTGGTTTCTGCAGCTTACTGTACATAACTGGGAAGAGCATCAGAAAGTACAAGACAAAAATTACCGTGGCCGACCCCTCAGAGAACCAGTTAGGATGCCGGTTCTTCCTAGCATCTCCCTAAGCAGGTTCTTCTCTGTGCATGAGAGCTCACTATGGGCTCTGCTTTTCTTGCTTACACACTTTCCACCACACGCAAAAGCTGACCGTCACTTCCGACAGCCTGGCGGTGACCCTCAGGTATAAACACACTACAAGGAACTGAGCCTTATTCCCTGCCTTTACACCACTCACAATCTCCCCAGTTAGAGTGATGCTGGGTTCTGACTCTAGGTTCTGATATTGGCAGTACTTGGCTCTGCAGAGGTTCTACTAGGGCAAAGCAGGAGCATTTGTAAGGGACGTGATACACACCATCAAGTTGCTCTCTAGGAAGGCGCCATCAATTCGCCCGGCACCAGGCTCTTCTGTAGGGATTTTTTCACATTTGCTGGTAAGTTCCCCTCCACTGTAGTCATTACCCCAGCTCTATCTTCCAGGCCCCTGCCATTAACCTGTTTCATCACCCTGGATGTAAACATTATTTTCCGATTCAAAATAAGCAAGTCAAATGGGTAAGCTGGGTTGTCTGACAATGGAACACCACCCAGCAAATCCACACCGACCTGTGCATCATGGGCAAACCTCAGATACTATGCCTAATTACAAAGCAAAAACAAAGAAATAGGTACCATATGATTCCATTTATATGAACTTCTAGAAGAGGTAAAGCTAACCTAAGTTCTAAAATAGCAGAATGGTTACCAGCGGAGGAGTAGGGTCAGTCGAGAACTCCCCAGGATGATGGAAATTCACCCCATCTAGACAGGAGCATGGTATTTGTCAGATTCCCTGAACTGCACCACTAGTAACTGCTCATTGCATTGTATGAAATAAATGATACCTTGATTGTAAAGAAAATACATAAACAAGTTGATGGGGGGAAGGCCACCACATTAGTTTAAATCTAAACCATTTTAGATATTGCCGCCCCTGCATCACTAAGTGCTTGGATCTCATTCCGCATGCCAGGACAAGTATGTGTTCAAAGCCACTCTAATTATTCCCTTCAAATGTCCCGAACCCTGAGCAACTGTTAATTTTTGTTGCACTCTGTACAAGAAAATGCTGGCAGACTTAGGACTTGAGACGGAGTAGCTCAAGGGCAGCGCATCCAATCACGCGAGCCCAGGTGCTGTCACCAGAGCTGTGTCGGGGTGATGCGCCAGGCTGAAGGTGGCCGGTGAGGATCACCCTCCTCAGACATTTGTGTTTGGGACAGTCAGCACAGAGTACGGTTCTGAAGGCAGCAGAGGTGGGCACACATTCCCCCAAGCACAGCTCTTTGGGCAGCCCAGGATGGTGGCCTGGGGCGCTTGACCCTTCGAGCACAGCACACAAGACCCCACACTTCCCAGACTGTCGTAACTGCAGAGCCTGACTCACCATTCAGTTCTGAACAAAAAAGCGTTCGGTATTACGCACCTCCGTCCACTTCCACAGATGGCCGGAAGGTCTTACTGAGTTAAGTCCCATCAACCCCTCAGGGTTAACAGTGTTTCGCTCAAAACCCTCCAAAGTCAGTGGACAAACAGGCCATTGGTGCTCAGCCCTTGGTCAGAGCACAACAGCCTCCAGACCAAGGGCTGACCAAACAGAGAAAACTGGAAAAGACAGAAAGACTGAGGGTCCCCTGTGGTGGGTGGAGCCAGGGAGGGGCACTGTGCTGGTCCCATCAGGGCACCCCCAAGACAAAGGGGACCCCAGCCTGGCAGACTCCCCACGGTTCACAACAAGTGGCCTCTCCCTCTCCTTGCAGCTGCTCTCACATCAGGAGGCCAGCAAACCCCAGACTCCGAGAAGACAGACTTGGCTCTGGCCTGACCTGTCACCACGATCTTCAGCCACCACCAAGCACACTCATGACACTCAGGTTTTTCAGGCAAATCCACGTGAACTCTGTTTCTTTCACATGATCAGACTGTCTCTGAAATACCCCATCAAAGGAAAACGGGAAGACAGAGCAAGTGTGCCAAAGTCTTGAGAAGGGCTGCTTTGGAGTCTACCTGTGGGGGTTCATCTTCACTGTCTTGAAATTTTCCTTAAGCTATTACTAAAAAGGGCATTTCAGGTACTTTTGTTACTTGGAATGGAATACACAAACTTTCTCTGCCGGGAAACATGTTCCCTTAGGAAGCTGTAAAAAACTTCCTAGCCCTCTTTCCAAGATAAAACCTGTGATTCTTTCTAGAAAAAGGTCATAACTGACTTTTCATTCTGAATTTCAACCTCAGTTGTAAAACATGGCAAAATTTGAAAATAAAGTCACGTGCAGAAAGTGTGTAAGACATTAAACTTAATTTTGTAAGCAGGCATTTTTTCTCTTTTAAAAAATTAACTCAGTCCTGCTGTCCTGTGCATGCAACGCAAGGGTCACCAGAAGAGGAAACAGAGTTGGGAAACCCTCCATTGGGACCAGAGCATCTCCCAGCAAACTATTACCTGGTAATCCTGTTTTGCAGACAATAAGCTTTTGAAAATGTGGAGTTAAGCTTGCCTCTGACTTCTGGAAGAGGTTCTGATACTTTTCCTAGTGACAGCACGGCTCCCTCCCACACACCCGAGTGGCAGGGCAGGAGGGCACAAGGAGCCCACTGAAGATGGTTTACCAGCTAGGTCTGGGAATTCTCCTGTCCTCACTCCCCACTGCCTCCGCGATGTCCACCTCCACTGCACTGGGCAGCTTCAGCTGGACTGCACAGGAGGCAGGCAGGGCGGGAGACCACCTAAGGCTGTCATCATTTGCTCCCCGGTATTCCCTGGCCAGCTTAAAGAGAAGTTGGGTCCACTCGAGTACGGGGGACGGAAACCATTGCAAAATATCCTTAACGTTTCTTTTCAAAGAAATTAAAATCCAGAAACAAAGGAAAAGGAGCCAAAGTGAACACTCAAGAGGCCTGCAGTCCGCAGCAGAGATTGTGCGGCCCTCCAGGGCTCCAGAGAATGGTGCCCCCGGCTGGGCCATTGTGGAAAGCGTTCTAGTACCAGAAAAACCCAGCTTCGCTCAAGGACTCAGGACGCACCACGCACTCAGTGTCGGGAATGCAGAGCAGGACACGAAGACCCGGGAGCCCGGGCACCACAGGTCCCCGCGGAGGGGGGAGGGCGCAGAGGGCAGTGCGGGGCCCTCTGGTCGGCGCTGGAAACACCGGCCGGCCGGACGCGGGGCTCGGCGGGCGGCGCCGACCCGGGTCCCAGGTGGGGGAGGCGGAGGGGCTTCCTGGGGGGCCGCGCCGCAGCCCACGGCCCCGGCTGGCGCGCTTCCCCTTCCAGGGAGCCCACAGCGCGCTTCCAGCCCGGGGCCAGGCACGGCTCTGGGCTTCAGACACAGCCGGACAGCCGAAGTCCGGGCTGTGGCGGCACGACCGGGAATCCCCGGGCGCCGGAAGACCCGCCAGGCCGGCCGGCCGGCCGCCCCGTGTCGCGCCCCCTCCTCCGCCGCGCCTCCTCCCCCCCCGCCGCGTCCCCCGACCCCCGGGGCGCCCAGGGAGGCCAGCCTCTGCCGCACAAAGCCCGCCGCCCGCGCCGGGACGCTCACCTGGCAGCCACCGCCGTCTGCGCCCGCGCCCGCGCCCGCCGCCGAGGGAGGGGCGGGGCCGCGCGGGGCGGGGCGGGGCCGGGTGGCTCCGCGCCCATAAAGGGTCGCCATGGCGCCGGCCCTGCCGCCCGCCGATTGGCCGAACGCGGGGGCGGGGCCTCCGGTTCAAACCGCGGGCGGGGCCTGGCGCGCGAGTTCCCGCGCGGCCGCGTTGGCCGTTGGGGCCCGCGCCCTGGCCGCCCCGCCCCCGCCCGCTCCCAGGTCTCCGCGCGCGGCCCCAGCGCGCCTGCGCAGGGCTAGCGGGGCGGGGCGGGGCGTGGCGGGAGTGGGTTGGGAAGGGAAGGGGGACGGTCAGAGCGGTGAGCTGGAGGGGAGGGGACGGGATGGAAAGGAGGGGGAGGAGGGGAGAGGGACGTTTGGAAGAGGAGGGTGGGAGAGCGGTGGGCTGGAGGGGAGGGGACGGAGGGGGGAAGGAAGGGGAGGGGAGAGGGATGTTAGGAAGAGAAGGGGGGGTGGAAGTGAGAGCAGGGGGAGGGGAGGAACCTTAGGAGGGGGAATCAGAACAGTGGGTTGGAGGGGAGAGGAGGAGGGGGCAGGAGCCCCCTGGACAGCCTGGGGTCAGTACAGGGACTTCCCAGGTTTACATGCAAGAAATGAAACCATAAAAGCCCAGGGGAGGTTTCTTAGAAAATAATTTCTCCAGAGGTCTTAAGTAAAATATAGAATCCTGACTCCGTTAATTCAAGCAACATTGCTTGAGTGCAGGCCAGGGCTGCAGTCCTAAGCAAGTAGAAGCCTCTCTGCTCTGTTGTGTCATGTGCTGGGGCTTTGCACATGTCCAAGGGGTAAGTGGTGTTGGGAGAGGCCCAGGTGAGGTGGGCTCCCTGTGCAGACACCAAAGGGAAGGCACTGGGCTGGAGAGGAGGAGCCCTGGGATCCGGCGAAGGCGGCACGGCAGGGGTGGGGGATGGAGACCACTGAGGGGCAGGTCCTGAGTGGGGCTTGGAGAGCATGACTGCTAAGATCAGATGTGGGGGGTGGAGGGGGAGAAGTAGAAAGTCCACCTGGGTTCCTGCAGTGCTGGGGGTGGCACAGATGATGGGCTGTGACTCGCACAAATGTAAATGTTCGCATGACAAACAGTGGGAAAAAGCTGGGGGAACTTTCGTTCCTAGCCATATGCCACGCAGATTAAATTCCTTAACACACAGATACCCTGCAAATGAAAGCAAGATGAGCAAACCAATAGAAACTGGGCAAGGGATATTAACACAGTTCAAAGCAAAAGAGAGAAAATGCCCTTCCCTGGTGGAAGGGCCTTCGGCTGGGAAGAAGAGCCACGTGCGTTCCTGCTGTCAGACTGGCAGAAATAAAAAATACTCTCTGCAGTAAGTCTGTCTTCCAGAGCTGCCACTCTTTTTCACCCAAAATGTACAGCATAAAATGAAATATTAACAGGCGTACCGGGACACAAGACCAAAAAGTGGGGGAGAAAAGGCAAAAACCCCAAAAAAACATACAGTTAATAGGACAGACTCATGGGTGATCCTGATATTGGAGTTTTCAGACTTTTTTAAAAACAGCAATCATTTTATTCATGAGAATTAGTGACAAGGTGAATGGGAACGTGTTAAAACGACTCAAATGGAGGAAATAGCATCGAACTCTTCTCAACCGAAGGGCCGGCATAACCCCAACGATAAAACCCAGAAAGGCCAGAAGGAAGAATCGCAGGCTGACTGCTCTCACAGCCACACTTGAAACTTCCAAACAATAGTAGCAACTCAAAGTCCCACAATACACAGAAAAGAAGATAAAGCACAACCAAGTTAGGGTTGTTCCAGGAAACAGAAGGTTAACGCTCCAAACCAAACCAAGTAATTCATGACATTAACAAAATGAAGAAATACTTGGAAATCTCAACAGGTGGAGAAGTATCCCCTGGTAACATTCAACCCCCATTCATGATAAAATACTGAGCAAACTGAATATACAAGTGCAAGGTTAGGAACAGCCCACAGCACCCCCCTCACCTCTGACACCCACTGCAAGTTTGGGGCCACCAAGACCACCCTCGGTTCAATAATTCACTACAAAGACTCGCGACAACTCACACTTGCCGTTGTGGCTTGTTACTGTGAAAGTCCTGCAGGGACGAGGTCCAGGCGGCCCCCCTGCCACCGTCCCCCCGCACGGGGCTTCCACACCAAATGGCCCAAGGCCCCCTGCCAACAGTCACCCACAGGCAGGCAGGACATCCCAGGGGGTTGGGGATCCCCTCCCAGGGCCCAGGGGCAAAGACCAGACCTCCTTGGGGAAGGCTCTTTATTTTTTTTTTGCTACACAACATAGGGACTCCCTTCATCTAAATAAAGTGTATTTACAAAAAACCTACAGGAAACCCTGTAGTGTGCAGTGCCATAGTGAAACCGTGCAAGCTGCCTCCGGTGATCAGGAATTAGGGGCAGATTTCTACCCAGCACCGCGTGGGAGGGCCTGGGGGGCAAACAGGCAAGGAAAAGAAGTAGAAGTTACAAGGATTCAAAAGGAGTTGGGATCATTATTCCCAGATCAGTTTCTGAATGTAGAAAATCCAAAGAATCTTGTCCTAGCCGGCATGGTCACCCACAGATGGATGACCTAGACCCGCCATGATTTGTTTTCTCTCTGTTCCGGAGTTTGGAAGGCCATGGGGAAGGTTCTGATGTGCAGAGCGAGTGGGAGGATGGGAGAGAGTGGGTCCTGCTCTGAAGCCAGCCGTCCCCTCGGAGCAGGGCCCACCCTAGGAGCTCTTGGAACCTTAATTACCTCCTAAAAGCCCTGCCTCCAAAGACAGTCCACTGGGGGCCAGGACTGCAACATAGGAACTGGAGGGGGACACCATTCCATCCATAGCAAATCTCCACATAAATGACTCAGATGAAGTATTAGGCATGACCATCAGATAATCCTATTTCTATATACAAGTAACAAGCCAGTATAGAATTTTTAAAAATGTTTTAATGACACCATTTGCAAAGCACCAAAAACATCAGCACCAGATGCACCTAGCTACAAATATGCACAGACTGTACCCGAAGGAGCACAAACCACTGTGGAAAGAAGTCAGGGACTGAGCTGGGGAATATGCCAGGTCCCCTACTGGAAGACTCCCCATTGTAAAGATAGTGGTTCTCTCAAACTTATCTGTAGATTCGGTGCGATCCCAATCAAAACCCTAACTTGTTTCCTGGAAACTGACAAGTTGGTTCTAAAATCTGTGCGGATGGGACACTGGGTGGCTCAGTTGGTGAAGCATCTGCCTTCAGCTCAGGTCACGATCTCAGGGTCCTGGGATCAAGTCTGCTCAGTGGGGAGCCTGCTTCTCCCTCTACCCCTGCCCCTGCTCCTGCTCTCTTGCTCTCTGTCAAATAAATAAAACCTTTAAAAAAGGGGGCCCCTCCATTATAGCCCCAAAGTGAGAACAGCCCAAGTGCCCCAGCGGGAGAATGAGCTGCGCATATGCAAGCACGCACGCTGCTGGCTAAGAGCAGGCGTGCACATGGAGGAAGAAGACACCAGAGTGCACGCCGGTTCCACGGTTACAAAGCTCCAAGCAGGTGGAGCTGTCCTGTGGAAGGGGAATGGTGGGGCAGGGGGAGGCCCGGAAAGATTTCTGGGACCCCAGGACTGTCCATACTGGATCTGAGTGCAGGGGGTTCACCTTTGTTTAATACGTTCCCATTGGGAGCATTCTCTGTGCTCCAAGAACTACGCTGATTAGGACATTGAAGGCAGGGTCCTCAGAAGCCCAGCCCCCAGGCCCCCAGTCTCGGGTAATGCACCGGCTGTGGTACCTCACGGTCTGTCGTAGACCCTTGGAATTACTGACCACACGTGTGTATGACCCGGTCCAAGTGCCCAGTCTTTTCAGTAATAAAGAAAACCACACTGTGGCTCTGCGGCCTCACAGCAGAGCCCCTTCCTAGAGCCTTAGGGAGCGTGTGCTCAGCCACCTCCAGGCAGGAGGAGGGGAGCCCCCACAGCCTCCACCTGCCCTGCTGCGCTCTGTGATACCTGGGCTCACCTGGGACCATGCCCTGCAGGTCCACCTGTCTGCCCCAGTCTCGTGGGTAGAGGTGGAGTGGTGGGGTGGTGACAGGCCCAGGCATAGAGGAGACTCCGAGGCCATGGGCCCAGGCGGCCTGTCCCAGAGATGCTCCAGGCCCACCTGCTGGCGTGGACCCTTGCTGGACCCCAACCCTGAGACCCCACCACCCTTCCTGGGATCTCCTGTCTGCTCTTGGAGGGGGTCCCACTGGGCAGGGGACATGTTTGCTGCCAAAGAAAATAGGTCAGAGGGTTTATGACCTCACCCATCTGGTGTCATCACTCAGTCCTTTGGATGTGGCCAGAGTTAGAATTACACTTTGACAAGTGGACTTTCTTTGAACATCGGGAACATTGTTGTGAACGTACCTGTGTGCCTTGTTTGGTGAACTTTTCCCATGAGACATCCTTAGGTATCCAGAATCCTGGAAGGTTCCTCATTGGACTCTGTGTCGTCTACAAAAAAACAGAATGACATTAAGAGATGCTTTCCTTTCTGTTGTTCGGTATTTGTATTAAGAGTGGCAGTCACTCACAGAGCTGCTGCCCCGTGAGGGGTGAAAGCAATCTCACCTCACATCGGCTGGATCGGATCGGCTGCAGGAACACGAACCCTCCCAGCTCCCTGGGGCTGGAAGGGAAGATGGGGCAGATCTGGCAGGCAGGGAGTCTGGCCTCCTCCTGGCACCCCCAGCCCACGTCTGGCCTCTGCCTGCACTGATCCCCTGCCTGGTCTCTGTCCAGGGACCATGTTGTCCTCTCCTGTACAGACCACCGCCCAGCTCCCCAGCTTCTGTGTTCCCGCCCAGGTGAACAGCCCAGACCCTCTCGGTGCCCCAAGAAACGGTCTGCCAGGGCCAGGCATCTGCCTTTGGTGCCACCAGCCCCAGCTGAGCAGGGGGACCCTCCCCTCTGTGTGGGTCCAGG